TCCCTCCCCCACTTTCGGGTCGTTTTCTGCGTCCAAATCGAATCGAAGCGAAGCGAAGGCCATGGGGCGGCGTAGCGCCCCAGCTCCAGGTCGATGGCGGCGAGCCAGTTCCGGCACTCCCAGACCTTGAGCTCCGGGTGGCTCCGGATCAGCAGCCTGGATGGACTTGTTCATCCCATCCGCGCGCGCGGGTGGGTGGGGAGGTGGGGGGGAAATGGGGGGGGGGGTGTTTGCCCCAATTCCATGCATCGAAAGTCTTCCAATTCCATAAAAGGGAGAATGGGTGGCCAGAAATGGATTTCCAGGGGTGGGGGGAAAATGGTGGGGAGGTGGGTGTTGGGTTGGGCTGGGTTCTGGGCTGGGCTGGGGCGGGACCCCAGCATTTATTTGTTTATTTATTTTTGCCTGGTGAGTGGAACATAAAGGGGACCAACAAACATGAAAAGTGGACCTAATTCTGGGGAAGTCTAGGTGGGGGGGAGGTGGGGGTGGGGGTGGTGGTGTGTATTTTTTCTTTGGGGGGCTGGCAGATTGGAGATGTTGGAGGCTCCAGAGTTGGATCTATCCCCTACCCTAAGAGGTGTTTTTGTGCTTCTGTTGGGGCTGGGCTGGGGCTGGGTTGGGGCTGGGTTGGTTGGGAGGTGTTGGGTGTTGGGGCTCAGGGGGTGGGGGCGGGTGCGGGGTGGAGCTTGGCACGGATTGTACGGACGGTTCTCTAAACAGAAAACCTAAGTAGTGGCCCGACATAGTACTTCCATTTGGTTAAGGCCCCAGGAAAAACTAAAAACAGATTCCAGTAGTGATTAATTCCTTTTAAAACCAACAAGGGAAAACAACTATGTTTGAGCAAATGGAGGAGTATAGATCTGCTTCTGGGTCAGCCCTGGGAAATGGTGCAAATCCACGCCTTGTCCAGTGGCACCGTTTATTTTCCCCTTTTTGCTTGGAGGGTTCCCACTGGAATGGCCAAGCAGAATGAAGAGGCAAAACACAAGATGCAAGAGGACAATAGGGTCCATATTAAAGAATAGTGTACCCCCATCAGACTCCCATCATGACTCAATATGGTTCTTAAGTTACCCCACCACCCCATTCTAGTTGTCTCCTCCAAAAAAAGCAAGCAAGGCCAACCCTCAGAAGAAACAACTGAAACAAGGCAAGCCGACGTGTCACTGGACAACTTCAAAAAAAAGGCTAGAGAACGACACATGGTGAAACTATGCACCCCCCCAACCCCCCAAGAGCAGACCCTGGCAAGAAAGCCTTAAGGCAAAATAAGGCTTACACAGGCTTGGCAAACCTTGGGAAAGCCACATTTGGACCATACCAAAGGGGACCTTTTCAGGACTAAACTGCGTCTTGAGGCTCGAGGTTAAAAAAAAACAAAAAACGTAGTGTTAAAACCCCCACTTTGTCTGGGGACCTCCACAATTTATATGTAATATGATCGGTTTCCAAGGCAGTGTCGTTTTTGGAGGTTACCCTTTCTGTGCCTATTTTGTTAAGGGACGCCGAAAGGAAACCGCCGGGTCAAAATGGCGCCAGCTCGAAGCACCAGACTGAAGCTGACCTGCGAAGGAAGGTTTTGGGCCTACCCACAAGAAAGAACACTAATTGGCCGTGGGTCAAAAATAGGGAAAACGCAAAATGGCACCCTGTTGAATGGAAACAATGACTAAAAGCTGCGGTCCATATCCTGGTGGTTTCTTTTTGACCCATACCCAATTAGCCTCGGTTTGCGACTGAACAGCTAGGCCAAGCGGCATAAAAAGGCGGGAGAAAAGGAAGATCACTGCGCAGGGCTCTGCCACAAAGGGCACGATGAAGGTGCAAGGCCACCTGAGGGGGAGAATGTGGCATGAATGTATTCACCCCTGGGTAACATACACCCCAGGTTGACTTTCATTGGGGAGGCTGAGCGGAAAAAAATGCATGAATATATTCACCCCGTAAAATAAAACCCCGGGTTGACTTTCATTGGGGGTGCGCCATTTCCATTTCGTGGGAATCCGCCGGATTCCAATTGTGTGGTTGACCCCTCCTTGGCATAGGTTCAATCCGGGCTCCGCCCATCCCGGAATCCCCCTCCCTTGGCTCCGGAAATCCCCAAAGAAACCCTTCAGACTTGCGCTCGGAGGGGGTTCAGTGGATCTCATGTGGGCCAAAGATGAGTACAAAAGAAACAAAACAGCTGTGAATCAACCGGGATCAAGATCCCAAACACACGCCTTTACCTAAAGCAGGGCTCCTATACTTTTTCAGCCCATGTAAAGTGAGTTGTTATAAGTACCCAAAATGGTGGCTTTCCATTTAATGGTGGCTTCACTTTATATACACCAGACTCAAAAGGCTACCCTGAACAAAAGAGAGCCCCAGTGGCCATGGAATGAAAGGGACCACTTTGGGTCATTTGATGTTTGAAGAGAAACCTTTCCACTTAGAATGACAAAGAAAGACGCCCACTCGGTTCCTGGCAAAACGGGAACCGCGGATTAATAACCCGCCTGGTTGCTTTTTTATTCTGGGTGCCCCCGTTTAGTGTGGGTTCAGATCACTTTTCAAGGGAACACCTTCTGGGACGGGTTCTACCTTAGATCCGGGGTTCCATTAGGGAGCCCCATCCCTTCTATACCCCCCCTACCTTCAGGGCAAGGGGGGTGAGGGGTCCCCAATTCCATCTATAGTCTTCCCCACAAAAGCGAAAATGGGTTGCCACAAATGGAGATCTCCATGGGTCAAATCCCCCCTTCCCCAATCAACCATTTTTGAGGGGGCGGGAATCCGACTCTTACCGCGGCGCGCGTACTCGAAGAGCTGTTGACCCATGGAGCGCTGCAACGCGTAGCTCTCGAACTTCTCGAGGAAGTTGTCCACATCTGCCAGCAGAACCCCACTCTCCTGCGAAGCGGACAGCGACTCAACCGGTGCTTCACGCGACTCGGGGTGTGACTCACCCAGTGATCCGGATCCCTGCAAAATGGAAGGGCCCCATACTCCCGACCCCCCCGTGGCCATTTGGAAAAAAAGGAACACCCATCTACCGAAATAAAGGAAGAAGAATGGCAGCACTGGAAGCTTTCCTGCAAAGGAGGGGACGCGCAAGTCGGTAGGGAGGGAACTGGGTCCCTCAAACAAAATATTTAAAAGGGGTTTTCTAAATCTCTGAAACATCAACACTGGGGTTCTCACTGACTACTTGTTTGGGGGGGGGGTGTCTTTGAGCAACCATTTGCCAGCAGAACCTCGCTTTTCTGCGAAGGGGGGCAAAAGGAATTTCTATAGGACACTCGACGAAATCAGCCACTGGGCCCCTCAAAAATCTCAAAGCCCCCCTGGGCAGCAAAACCACACGCTTTTCCTGGTGGCAAGGGAAGCGGGGCTGACCCCTTGCTCAGTTGCCCAAAGGACCCAGAACTAAAAGGCTAACCTTTTGGCACCTCTGCTAAAAATGGACCAAAATGGGAAAACCAAAAGGTCAAAAGGTCGGCTTTGGACAACTGAGCTTGTCGGCAACAAACAAGAAGCTTGGAAACTGAACAGGCAAACAACTCGCTTCCAAGGAAAATGGTCCTACCATGTCCCTAACCAGAGCTCCGATCGGTAGCTCCGAAAGGCTCCCTCTTAGGATACCCCGACTCCTTCGCCTTCCAACCACCAGCTAGCCCTTTTCATAGGTGTCCTTTGAGGGGAAATACATGGGTTTCCCTGGTAGATGACTAAACCACCAGGTAAACCAGGAATCGCCATCGACACCTATGGCCCTTTTGGTGTTCCACGCCCTCCCCAAACAAGGCGACCCTTCACACCACTCTGCTGAGCGCGGCGCGGTGCGGAAGTCCATGCCCACCATGATCCTAAGTGGCAATTGAAAAGGTCAACCTTCTGCCAACTTGCTGCTTTCGACCATAAGCCTTGGAGTAAAATCCAGTGTTCTAGGCGTTGATTCCCCAGTCTTGTCAACCATGGTTCTTTTCAAGCGGCTGCTTCTTCTGAGCTTTGATGGCTTCCTGAAAACGACACTAAGCCTTGACTAGCTCCTCCAGATTTGAGAGGTAACGTCAAGGGCGCCAACTTTTTTTCTTCTTCTCGGATTTGTCTATTTTGGTACGAGCACCCTCTACTGGGGGACCTAGTTGAGTAAAACCCACTGTGCACCAATACCCCCGCCTTTTCGCAATATGAAAAGACGGGGTGCTTGGAGTTTTGCATCGAGCAACATATCCTTTTCATTCACGTGGATCCCGTTCTTCAGAAAGCTGGCTCTCGGTCTTTGGTGACTCTCTTTTTTTTGAGGACCACTTTTTTGGGACATGGACGGATCGGCGTCTCGGAGCGTGATCCTTTTCAAACCCTTCCCAAAAATCGTTCCCCATTCTTTCGCGGGATTCCATTTCCCACGTTTTGTAGGTAACTAATGGACCTGCCCCTCACTTGCTGAGTGGATGGCCCAAAAAAAGACCAAACTTTATATTTGCCACTAAAATGGTCTTCCCAAAAAGTTTAAAGTTCACGAACTCGGGAAGTGAGGCCCTGTGAAAACCAAAAGAACATGCCTGGTTACCTACTACTGGGATCCACTGATCTCCCTGCAAAGGTCGTCAACTCGTGGTAGACGAAAAGAGAAGTACGCGAGATGCAACACTGGCTTCCGGAACAGACACTTGCTGATTTGGGCATGGGTCCTGTGATTCTGCTGGCGGGCTTTTTGCGACCTCGCCTGAAGCGCGGTGAGCAGGTTGGGGCAAAATTGGCTAAATCAGGCCCCAACGGAGCCTCTAACATTACTTGGTCGAAGCTCCTGGTTCCCGGTGCCCGTGGAAGAAGGCAACCAACTTTTGAGGTTGATCATGCTTAGTGGGAGGCCCACCAGGCAAAAAGGGAGAACATATTTTCCTTACCCCTTAAAACTCCAAGCCCTGGGGAAGTTAATCTTTTACAGACATAGGCCATTACCCCAAAAAGTTGAAAAGTTGTGTTTTTAAGAGGTAAGTAATTCAATTTCGCAGAATGGGTTGAATCGCCCCACCAATGGGTGAAACATACAGCTCAAGCGCCTCACTCACTGCTGCTCGCTGTACCGCACAAAATCCGGCAGGTAGAGCCGGGTCGCGTTGAGCATTGAAACTAACTCAGCAATGGAGTCGACATAAATGCTGTCCTGACTTGCCAAGATGCGGACTCCAAACTGACTTGAAGCTTGATCCCGCACCATTTGCGAGTGTTGGTAGGTTGGCAGGTGAGAAGGTTACAGCAATCATGGGGCCTGCCCGCTCTCAACCCCCCCCCCCCCTTTATCTCAGACTCGTCAAACACCAACCTTTTCGGGCCTTCCAGGACCCTCCCGCTGAGGCCTTGATAAGGCCCCAAAATAAAACACGACCTTAACCTCCCCCCTCCCCTCCCCAGGCCCATGAAGTAAGAGACGACCATTGCCACAAAATCATGGGCAAGCCGTTCAATGATTTCGGCTGTCCGTGTTTACCGGCTAACAGTCGACCACTTTTAGTGGGTTAAATGGAAACCCAAGCGCTAAACCAACTAAAGAGCTCAAAGGGTCAAGGGGATGGGGGGGTACCGCCAAGAAACAAAGGATCCACATCTGTCACAACTGGTTCAGTCTAAGCCAGCATTCGATCGCACAGCCGGTTGAAGCCAAAGGCTGATTGTTCGAAAACAAAACACATGATCTGGCCAGGACTGGCAAAAAGAAAAAGCTGGCGGTTCCGCTTCAGGCCGACTTGACCAAACACTGAAACCAACAACTGATTTAACCACAACTGCCGCACAAAAAGACATACGTACCCACACCTGGTTAAAAACCCACGTCACATGAACAACTAAGCAAACACATGGTTAAAACAAACATCAACGGACCACTACTGACATAAACCCAAACGCGACTGCTTCAACCAGCACTGGCTCAGAGCAAAGCTTGATCAAACCAAACAAACATTAGAGCAAATCACCGCATAATGTAATCTCCAAACACCCACGTAACCGAATAACCAAAGGACTTACAGTCGGGTGAAAGCAACTCGTACACTCCCTGTTCACCCATTTTACAAAATGGAATTGGGCCATCTACTTCCGCCCTTCGAACCCAATAGGGAATATGACACTTCTTAAGCACATGGATGGTTCCCCTTAGTTACCTAAATACACGGCTAAATGGATTCTCTCTCTCTCTCTCTCTGCCGTGGCGTCCAGAGGGTCCAAAAAATACCGCAAGGCAACGAACAATCGGTGCCCACCGATGTTCAGGGGCGCCGACAACAAAGCTTGGGACAACCCGGGCAGACATCAAGTGATTTGGATTGGTGGTTTGGGATTTGAACCCCTAGTCTTGGGAAACCGTCCCAGCACTAAAAACCACCAGGCTCCAAACCACCAATTAGAGGAGCCCGAAGGATTCCAACTCAGCCGGACAAACATTGCAGCCGTCTGGACAAATAATCATGTTTCCAGTGTTAGAACCAAGGGGAAACCCAACATATACTCTTAAGCAAACGGAAGTAGGCAAATTGAAGAAACAAAGACAATGCAAGCACAGCTTTCCCGTCGCGTTCGAAGGAAATGGGCGCGGCTGAGTGTCGTGCCAAACGCTGGCCGCTTCATCACTGATCGCCCGCCCGAAGGCGAAGGCTGCGCGAAACCAGAGGCCTGGCGGGTCGGTTTTCAGGCCCGGGATTCGAATCCGAACAGGGCTGGGAATGGAATCCACGAATCTGTGATACGGAAGGGCCTAACCCCAGCGACTGTTTGGTTCATAAAAAGGGGGATTCCCGAAGGTATCACAGAAGTGGGGAGAACCCCCTTGATCCCACAACCCTGATCCCGAACGAACCTGGGTGGTCCAAAGAGAGGTTTTCCCTAAGGAAAAACCTAAGGAACATGTCTCCCATGGACGATTGTGTTTTCTCAAACATGTTGTTTTTTGTTTTTCTAAGCTTGGGCCCCATGGCCGTGGATCGCGGATTGCGTTTTTCAAAGGCGGCTGGCAAGATTTAAAGGAAAATGCAAGCAGTTCACGGATTCACTGGTTTTGGACAGTGCTGACATGCCGGAACCTGGGGGTGGTGCAAGGCCGGTTCACTCGAAAACCCTCTCAGGATCCCAGAAAGGGCTCTCGACTACCCAGCCCCCTGGAAAAAAATCACAACTGGCAGGAATTTCTACAGCAAACAGGACATTCCATAGTTTCATGTGGTTTGCCTGGAGACCGGGCTCCCTTTTTCATTGGCCCACAAGGTGTTGAAACCTAGAAATAGGTTTGATACTCGATATTCCCGTGAATATGTACATATGTACATGGCCATTTATACCAGTTGTGCGCAAAAAATGCCTCTGAAGGTGGCACAGCCTCCTTTGCTCCTGCCTGTGCAGAAATTCGGTCTAGGGGAGGCTGGGGGGATTGACCATCTCTTGGTTGACGTTGGAAGGGGAGCAGGGAGCAAAAATTCTCAAATTTCAGTAGTTCAGTGGTTGGATTTCAACCGCCAAACCACAATAAGCAAAAATGTAAGATTTGCTTCCCAACAACAACCATGATTTGGCTCCGAAGAAGAAACTTGACTAGGTCCTCCAGTAGAAAGGTTAGAATAAGGGGGCCTTTTTTTCTGTAGTCGATTTTGGTAGGGTCCCGAACCCTCCCAACCAAAAAAGGGGTGAGAACCCCGGCCATAGCTCCCGCACCAAGTTTGCCACACACCCCGGCTGTTCCGACTGGCTGGAAAAGTCCAATATCTAGGTCCTCCAGTAGAGAGGGGTACCGTTTTTTCTGTAGTCTTTTTTAGAAGGGGAGTTATCCCGACCAAAAAAGGGTAAAAGAGCACTACTTGGGTTTCTAGGATATAGTATCAGGGGCTCGTAATTCTCGAATGGTTCAGTGGGTGATTTGAAACCAAACTTAGTCATGATGGGAACCATTCACTAGCAAGCATGTTGCCACTGGTATTGTTCCGGTTGCTTGATTAAGCCCCCTGGGAAAAGTGAGAACATGTGTCCAGCAGTGAAATCGATTTGATTGAAACCAACAAGAAATCATAAAGCATACACAGCAAGGAATTAGAACAGCACTAAAAAAAGACAAACACACCCTGTTGGGAAACTAAAAGCAAACAGGCAGGCAAGCAAACAAACAACTGCACCCCTGTGGGAGCTTCAAAAACAAACAACAACTCCACCCGCTTGGGAAACATTAAAACTAACTACTCATTTTAGGGGAACTTAAAACAAAACAACACTACAAAACAACATTTCTTTCCGGTTGATAACGCGCAAAGAACAGACAAACACACATCCAGCACCCTCCGACCACTGCTGTCGTTGTAATTTCATAACTGTCGTTTTTTTTGGCAGTAGTTCCACAAATACAACAAAAGACAGCAGATGCCCGAATTACGGTTGCTTCCGAAAAAAAGAAAAAATAGTAATAATAAACAAAAAGCTTATATCCCTACCCCCAACATGAAGGTGACACGCGGTCGGCACGCGGGTGACACGCAGTGACACGGTAAAACTGCCGTGGTTTGCAGCGATCTACTGTTGTTCTGACAGACTGACACGCAGGCGACACGCAGGTGACACGCAAGTGACACGGCGTGACACGAAGTGACACGCAAGTCCATGCGTGTCACTATGTAGAGAACTTGCTTGCTACTGCATGTCACTGACACGCTGTCGCTTGCGACTCATGACCATGGGCATCCCGCAAATAAAAAGAAAGACAGTAATGTTTCGAACTACGGTTTGTTTTTAGGAAATTTTATCTACCGATCACTGGGCAGTACTCGGAGGGTCCCGGATAGAACCTGGCTACCCACATGTTGCAGCCAAGAACCCTAAAAAACACAACAATACCCTAAACTAGGTCCTCCACTAGCGAGGTTAGAAAATAAGGGCACCTTTTTTTTTGTTGCTGTCTGTTTTAGGGGAGCCCTCCCAACCAACAAAAAGAGGGGCTAAAACGGGCACCTAGCTGGGGAGACCTAGCTTATGTGTCCTTCATCCCCCCAGCCCCAACCCCCATCTCAGTTGCCCAAAGGACCCAGAACTAAAAGGTTAACCTTTTGGCACCTCTACTAAAAATGGACCAAAATGGGAAAACCAAAAGCATGTGCCGGCGCCCGAGCGAGCGCGGCCGAGCGAGCCGCCTGGATGGAGCACGTAGAGCTGCGCCAGCCTGCGCCGGTACCGCGCCTGGATCATGGCGAGCATCTCTTGCCTTGGTTGACGTTGGAAGGGGAGCATGTTTTGTTACACAAATGCAGTTACGTGGATTGGAATTCCCAAGCAAAGAATTAATTCTAGGAGTTAAGTGGTTGGACTTCCAGCCACTCAACCACAATAAGCCAAAATGTAAGAACTGTTTTCCAACAACCATGTTGCAGGACCTCCAGCACCGAGGTGTCCAGGCTGTCCACCTGAAAGACGCCAGAAGCCATAAGGCTGTAACCCTCCTGTTGGTTGATGTGGGAGAATATGGCATGCTCTCGGATTGCTTTTGGGCAGCTGAGGCTTGGATGTCCTGGCTGTCGACCTGAAAGAAGTCGTTGTCGGCGGGTTGGAAGCCATGTAGATGGTTGCGACATCCGCTTCTTGCACCACGAAATGAAGCCAACGGAAAGCGCAACGTTGGTACTTACAGGGGAATCGAATCATTCCATGGGGTTCTTAGGTGGTGCAGGATTTCGTCCATCCACAGTAAAGGATGGAAAGCCCTCTTGTTTAATGGAAACCCCTCCTTTTGTGGCTCTGGAACCATCTTTTGGTTGGATTCAAAGGGAACCCTATGGCTTTCAAAAATTAGTGGTTCCCGACATTTTGGGAGCTAAGCGGGGGGGGGATTCTCTTACTCAGGATGGCTTTCTTTTTGTGGGAGGTTCCCTTACTCAGTTACCGTTAGGGAGCTGGTAAATAAAAGGTGGCCACCTTGTTGAACCTTAACTAAACATGAACCAAACAAAGGAAGCTAAAGGGTCATTTCAGGTCGGCTTTGAGCAAGTGAGCATAACATTGTAACATGTGACCAGCTGCCAAAGGGTCCCTTGCCTGTGTGTGGCGACTGGCATTGGAGGGGACCCCCACCTCGAAAAAATACAAAAGGGCAGCATCTTGGGGCTTGGGCTTCCCACAAGGTGCTTCCAAAACATAAAGTCTATACATCATGGGTAGTATCGAGTGCTTTCCTTGCACACCACCAGACGTCCATGATTTTGAGCCATCTCCAGGTTTTGTGTTTTTCTTGGGCCTTTCAGGCTTGGAGAAGGCTACACATCGCTCGAAAAACCCATCGAGTTTTGGGGGTTTTGGCTATGGCGTGTCTTGCAGTCAACCCCAAATTGCCGGCTTTCCTTCAACCAACATCCAAAAATATTCAACTAAAAGGATGAAGGCCAAAGATCCAACCACCTTGCAATCAAGAAACAGCCCTGGGATGGAAACATGCCCTTGGTTGGGGCCCTCACTAAAAGCATCGCATCTTCAAAGCCCAAGCCAGGTTTTTTCCGCCATACCGCCCAACCGCCATGACCTTCGTGTGTGCGCTCGTTTTACACCAGGCGAGCTCGCTAGAATTTGCCACCATGTCGGAGTTTTGTGAAAAGCGGTGAATATGCTGATTCTCCCTCTAGGTGAATTGGATTTATCTCTCTCTCTCTCTCCGCCGTTGCGTCCAGAGGGTCTTGACTCAGCAAGGCAACGAAAAAGGTGCCCACCGATGTTCAGGGGCACCGACAACAAAGCTTGGGACAACCCGGGCAAACATCAAGTGATTTGGATTGGTGGTTTGGGATTTGAACCCCTAGTCTCGGGAAACCGTCCCAGCACTACAAACCACCAGGCTCCAAACCACCAATTAGAGGAAGGCTGATTTGCGGCGGGCGAGCCCGCCTCGCTGTTGACGTAGAGAAGCACGAAGCTGTCGCTCAGTGCTTCGAGCTCTTTCACAAAGAGAGGGATGGTCTGCTCGTCCTGGAAATTGCTGGGTCTCAAAATGGGGGCGATCCTCAAAATTGCGGTTTGGCCTTGGGCCTTGAGGCTTCCCAAAACAAAAAAAATGCCACAAGTCTCTAATCTAGAATTGATTCTAGGTTTCCCTTAAACAAATAAAACACCACCAACAAGAAAATGCCCAAGTGGGGCAGTTGAGATACTTCTTGCTGAGAACCTCGAACCCCTGTCTGCACTCATTTGGTTCAGGCGACTCCTTTTCCATCCTTTTCCGGGGAAATCGAATCTCGCTCCAGGGAATGGCGCCTTGAATGGAATGCTCAGAATGCATTCCATACCAATACCATGTCCAGAAAAACAACGTGGATGGACGAAATCCATTTTGCACCACCGTTCAGAAACCCTGGAATGTGGATTCCCCAACGCAAATACCAACCAACGTTATGGTGTCAACCATGGTTGCTTAGGTGGTGCCGAATAGGATTTCGTCCATCCACATTCCCACCAACCGGTGCTCACACTTCCGAGGAGTCAAAAACTGTGGGGTGAGAAAAGACGTCTGACGCAATGGCACATGTTCACAAGCGAAGTCCAGTGAAAGCGACTGGAAGCCACACAAGGCAAAGACACTGCCAAAACCTTACAGATCAGGAAGCACAACAAAATCAACGGGTCGGACATGGGCTGTGGAATTGCCTTGCGGGGGCTCCACGGGGGCAAACTTTTGGGACCAATAAATTTTGAGCTTTTGGTCTCCCCTGGCGTGGGTGTGTGGTGTTTGCAGGGGACTAATTAGTATAACCCCGCCTCTTTCGAGTTGAGCCATACTCAAATGGAGAACGATTTCCGAGCCAAAAGTCAAAAAGTTGGAAAGGCCTTTGGTCTAACAATCAAACTTGAGTCAAAGGACCGATCCAGCCGCCTCTGACAACCAGCCTCTGGAATCGGGAGGCCACGGGTGTGGGAAACACCGACCCATTTGGCTCGGGGTGGCATGTGTTTTTTGGAGGGTCTCCTTTTGGCGGTGCTTAAAGAGAAACTGCAACGCCAATGTTGACAGGGGTCACTGGATTTCCCCAATTAAGTTGATCAAATTGCTGCTTTCCGCTGAAACGATCGCCAAGTTTGGAGTGACCCAGGGGAAATGAAAAAAAAACAAAAACATGTCCCCACTGTGGATGGACAAAATCCTGCACCACTTTGAAGGCATAGGAAGCCATTGTTCGTTGGTGTTTGCAAGGAAATATTTTAGGTGGTGCAGCATTTCGTCCATCCACCGCATGACTAGTCTATCACTTTAGCATGCTCTTTTTGGGGGTAATTATCACACCCAGTGATTCCATTAAACCTGTGCAGGCAATGGGGTTCGAGTGTCGGGTTGTTCTTGAGCATTTCGGTCACAATCAAAACCCGGTACTAAAATGGTCTGCCTGAACCATGTAAGGAATTGAGAAGGCGGCCACAGCTATTTGTTGCTGGGGCTGCCCCTTACTAACCTTCATCTACCCGGGCTTTGAGAACGTGGCTCAGGTGATGTCCAAGACTACCAACTTCCAATCTGGGTAAGGCCCCAGGAAAAACAAAGAACAACCATATTTCCAGGTCGAGTTGTTCTTCGGCGTTTTTTGTTTGGCTCCTGCACGCCCAGGGCAGGCAGCCTCGCCCCCAGCAGTACCACCACGTGGCGCCCGAAGCAGTCCTGGCCGCTGTAGTACCTCATTGGAGGCCAGAAGGGGTTTGTCGATTTGTCCGGACGCCCTCTTTAGGTTGCCCAGAGGGTCCCTTGATACCTCCTGAAGATGGCACTTGAACCCTCTTTAGGTCAGTTTGAAAGGGACACCAAACTCAGTCCGGGCTGAGTGGAAGCCATAGGGACACCTACTCGTGGTGGTGAATTTTTTGGGTGGGTCTAATGAAAGCCATCTGCTTTTTGTGGGTTCAACGGAAACCTGTGGAACCCAACCCTCTGCTTGGTTGTAAAGGGAACCAAATGGGTCCCGATATCTTGGGAGCTAAGGGTTCCCTACATTCTGGCACGGGGAGGGAGTGGGGTGATTCCCTTTCTCTTACTCATAGCCAGGATGGGGTGGGGCAGTTTAATCATGTTTACAGGGGAATCGGTCCAACCCTTGGTATGGGCTGGGCACCAAAAATGGACCTGTTTTTTGCGGCCCCCTGAACAAACAAAACTAATACCTGTAAAAAAGCCACGTGCCAAGACCAGTGAAGGGTTTTGAAGGAAAACCAACAGGAACGCCACGACTTGTGTGGGTCCCTCCAAAAAGACACATGTATAGGGAGGCTTCTCAGACGGCGGTGAAAATGTGACGCTTTTTAGACATGCTACGCCTGCTACGCCCAGTGCTTTCAGCCAATAGGTTACCAGGGGAAAAAACCAAGTACCCCCTACACCCAATACCCACTTTTTTCAGGTATGATGTCGACCCTCTACTAAAAAAGGAGGTATTTATTCTGGAAAACCAGGTTTTCCCAAAAAGTACCCTGAAAAAAGCGGGTATTTGGAGTAGGGGGTATGCTTGGTTGTCCACCGCAGTGGCGAAACCCCTGGAAGCACTGGGATAGAGCATCATTTTGAGATGGGAATGCTAACATCTACCTTCGTTTGGCAAAATCACACATTTCCAATTTCACCAGTAGTGAAATCGATTCCCTTTAAAACCAGAGGGAAATAAACAACCCTAAGGATCCCAACTCTTTTCGGGGCGTCGTTTGGCACCCCTCGTAGCGAGGGCTCGGGGTCTGCAACCACTATCGATCATTCAATAACAATCGCTTTGACAGTTATTGGCCCGCACACCGTCCTGGCCGGCAAGCAAAAGATTCAGTTGCCACGGACAAATCGGTAGGCCCAAGTATTTCCTAGCAAACACAGATCTCGGACGGCTTTCTGACATCTGCTTTCCGACGGCGTTCTCACTCATGCTGGCATTCCGCGGTTTCTGAACACTGTCCGACGGCTTGCCGACGGCTTCCCGACGTTTCTGACGGCTTCCCGACGTTTCCGACGGCTTCCCGACGTCTTCCTGACGTTTCCGACGGCTTCCCGACGTTTCCGATGGCTTCCCGACGTTTCCGACGGCTTCCCGACGTTTCCGACGGCTTCCCGACGTCTTCCTGACGTTTCCGACGGCTTCCTGACGTTTCCGACGGCTTCCCGACGTTTCCGACGGCTTTCCGACGCTCGGGCCCTCGCGGGCCCTCGGTTTGCCTAGTTTTGAGGGCCCAATCATTAGCTTCCCGACGTGTTTCCGACGCCAGACCTTGACGCGCGCAGTTCTCATCGGCACTCAACTGGCCCATAAATACAAACTGCATGTGACTCTACGCCATTGCAAGCCAATAGCAGCGATAGCGCGTATAACCAAAGGAACTTTGCACGGCTCATGGGCCTGTCAGACACACACACACAACAAGCAAAGTCAGCAACCTTTTGGCAAACACGGGAGAACACGGGACTCCTGTCAAGAAGCTGCGAAATATCAAAAAATTGAAGACGCATCACCAGCCCACAAGTACATCCGAAACAACAGGTAACGCGTTAGCGATAAGACTGTGGACTCAAGCTGCCCAGCCTTCACCCATAGCGCCTGGCCTTTTTCACAATTATCTGAAAAGCGGAATTTTGTTCTGCGCATGGGTGTCGTTGCGGCCAGTGGCCACTTGGGTTTCAGACCTTGTCGCGTGCGCTCAAAACGGGTCTGGGCCCCCGGGGCGTCGAACTGTGAACTGCCAGAGCCCCGGAACGTCGTCAGCAGGGTATTTAGGCCGGACCCTTTCAATGCACATCCCGACCCTTCCAATGCACATACCAAAGAGCCTTAGGGAATACTCATTTCAGCAAATGGAAGTTGGAAGTTTGGGGGTCCACATGCTGAGACGACCCCAGAAGAACCGGTCGTCCAGTCGGAAATCCGAGCCCAAAACTTCCATTTGGTTCAGGCCCCAGGAAAAAGTGAGAATATATTTGCAGCAGAGATGAATTCCTTTCAAAGCCAACCTTGGTGGTTACTGTTGACCCCCCTGCAAAAAGTGAATAACTGTTTGGGGGTTTAGTGGAAAACGCCTTCTTTTCCCAAAAAGTTAAAGTCTAAAGATCCGTTACCCAGTAGCAGTGAAGCGTTCAAGGGGAAACAAGGTCTCAAGCAAATGGCCCGAGCCAAAGCTCACCCGAGCCCGAGCCGCACGAAGCGCGCGGGCTCCGTGAGCGCCCGAAGCTCCCGACTCCGGCGGAGGTAGCGAAGGCAGATGTGGCGCGCCTGGCTTTGCGGCGGGCCCAGGGACGGCTGAACCATTTCGGCATGTTATCCTGCCCCCTACTCCAAATACCCGTTTTTTTTCCGTTGGTATTGTTGATGGAACACCGAATCGGTTTTCCATGGTAAAATCCTCCTTTTTTAGTAGAGGGTCGACATCATAGCCTGAAAAAAGGCCGGGTATTGGGTGCAGGGGCTGTGTTGGATGTTGCCTTTTGAGGGTTGGGGGGGGGGCTCCAGAAAGGGATCTCTCACAGTTGCCATGCCATGGAAGAGGACCCATCATCGCCTGGCAGTTGCTTACGTTCCTGGAAAAATGAGAACATCTTTACTGGACAGACAGCCAACTTTTAAAGCCAACAAGGGAACACGTGGAAAAATGAGAACATATTTTTCCTGTACAGAAAGCCAACTTTCAAAGCCAAGGGAACATGTAACAAGTTCTGAAGCAAAAGGAAGCTACTGTACGCCTCTACAAATTAGCATGGAAACTCAGAGGGTCCCCCAAGAGGAACTTCCTCTGCAACTGTGTGTCTTGTTTCCTTCAAGCCACCTGTGGGGCGACGTGAAAGTGCCAAGTTCATGTTGCTGTGCTGGTTTCCCGTAAGCTCCAAACACCGACCCGCCACGTGGGTCGCAGCCCTCGTCGACTCTCGACTTCGCCTCATCCAGGGACTCGGCGTGGATCATGGTGCCCTCGAGGCGACGCATGGCGGCCTGGTCCGCGTCCTCGCGGGCGTGCAGAAAGCTCTTGTCCTCGTCCTCGAAGAGGAGGTCCGTCTCCTCGACTGACCCACTCACAACCGAAGTGCTTTGTGCTCCAAACCCAGAAAGTGACTTGAGGTCGTGCGAGGTTGTTATAATTCACCCAGACTTAAGTGCAGGAACTCAGGGATGTCCATCGCCTCTACCAAACGATTCACCCGAAGGATCCAAGCTAGCTAGGTGTCATGTTTGTTTTGGGGCCCGTAAACAAAAACTGGTATTCCTGGTCCGTCTCACCCGGGCAAGGATCCACTCCAAAAATATCCAGCTGGAGTCTCCATGGCATTGGTAATTAGCCCCATGTTTGTAAAAAAACAAAAACAAAACCTCCGCCCCCGCAACTCAGGTAGATGTTGCTTTTGCCCGGGGAAAGTGCCACCTCCAAAAGGATGCCCCCTCCCCCCAAACAAACAAAAACTAAAGGCAAGGCGTTGGTTTGGGGTTGTTCGCAGTGACAGACCGCATTGATAAGGCCTCACTAAGGTCTGTGTGTGTGTGTGCGTGTCCTGGTCGCCTTTCTGCACAGGATTCTCCAAGGCGGGTGGTTTCTGTGTAGGTGCTGTTGCAGTTATCAGATTTTTGTGTTCATTGCACACCACTTTTAAGCCGGGACCAAACCTCCTGGAAGGAACCCCCGTTGTTGGTGTGGGGCACCCTTTAAAAGAAGAATAAAACAAATCCTGCCGTGGACCATTCGTTAAGGGCAACCTGGACCAACCAAGGGTACCCCTTTTTTTTGGTTCGCTCCTCATCGGAATGGGAGATCACGTGGTTGGAGACACGGATCCGGCGCTCTTCCATAGCGACCTCCCCCCATTCCTCGCTGCGACTTCGGCTTTCGGATTCGCGGTGCTTGTTGTGTGGGTCCACATTAGGCAGGGGGAGAAAGCAGGCGTTGGTCCTTGTTTTCATTTTTGCCAGGGATCCATTTCCTGCACCTACTCTTGGCCCACATCCTTTTGTTTTTTTCAGGCCAGGTGAAAAGGGTAGCCCCTTGGGAGGGGATTGCCATGCAGTCACATGAACAGAAGTAAGGAACACAAAGAACTAAACACACAGAACCGTCAAGAACAGCCAAGACGGGTTTGCACAAAACAATGCCTTTAGCCTCAGGTTTATCAGCCAACCCCGGAGTGAGCAATCACGGACCCCCTATAGGCTAGTCTCCTCAAGGTTCCTCCCAAGTTTGAAAGCTCCCATTTGGGGAAGTGGTAGCTTCTGATCTGGGTCGATATCCAAGCGTGCCGAGGCAAATGAAGGTGCTTGCCCCAAGCAGACTGGGGATTACGCAGCGATCTTCCCTTGCTCCGCCAGCTAGAGAGGGGTGAAGCGCCGGCATCTGGGCTGTTCAAAACGGAGTGTTGGCCAATCCTAGTCCATAATCCCTTTTGCACAACTACTACAAAGGGGACCGGTTCCTTGCGTAACCCAAGGTAAGGATTAAGGATGAAATGGAGCAGCCCAGATTGTTCAGTCAAAGCACCATGAAAACGGTCCAAGTCCGAAGGGCGACCATGTTCTGATCTCCCCTTTCCAAGGGTCCGTCCAGCAGCTGTCCGGCAGCAGAGACGCGCCCTGCGCTTCCTGCGCGCTGCGGGGGAAGTAGAGCGGCATGAGGGCCTCGCGGTGTGGCATGTGGAATGCCCCAAGGTAGACTCCTTTCTCCAGGGAAGAGACGAGACAAGGGCCGCTCTTTTCCTTGACATGTCTTTCACCCACAGCATGGAATCTTCACAAGCCTGGGTAGGTATGGCTTGGCAAAAACAAACTGACTGTATGTTGCAGCCGCCTAAACATCGACAAAACAACACAACCAAAAAAAACATGATCCAATAGCAGTGAAGGACTGTGCGTGCAGAGAGATCCAAACTAGTGAGTGGAATGGCATTTAACCGCTGTCCGCAAATCCTTTTTTAATTGTGGTCCGCGCACGAGTTGTGTGGCGTGTAAAAGTTTGTGTGGCTTTTGCCGCCTCTTCGGCCCTCCCACCCTAAACCAAGCCCAAGCCACCACCAAAGCTACAGGGATCACTGCATGTCGATCGCCACTCTTGGAAATGGAGGAACCCCTCCCCGTTTAAGGGCCCGGCAATTACCTTACGGGGCTTAGGGGCGGTTCAGGCTTTCAAAGGGGAATCAATGGGTTTGGGTTAGCCTTTTGGTGGTTGTTTTGAAGGGATGCCACAGGGAAACCGCACCCAGTTCCCACTTGGTCGGCAACCAGGGGAAACCATGATATAAAATCTAGAGGTCACAATAACTGGTTGCCTGGCTGTTGTGGCGAAAGCCGAAGGGAAGCACTGGGACAGCTAAACCAACGCTCCACCACCCAAGCCCATCCCTGCAACCCCCACCACCCACCACGAAAACCGAAGCTCACTCCCCCCCCCCCTCACCCCCCACCCCCCAACCCCACCCTAACCCCCCCACCCCCCTTCCTCACCCCCCACCCCTTCACCCTTCACCCACCAAAACGCCAGCCGCTGGACGCGTCATGCGCTGGCGGCCGCGGCAAATGCCTCGTAGAGCTCCAGCTCCTGGGCGTTGGCGGCCACCAAAATCACGGCCTCCACTCGCCGCAGCTTCTCCAGGCACCGGCGCACCGAGCGCAGGGCCACGTGGGCCTGGCGCAGGGGGGGGGCTGGGGGGGCTGGGGGGAGGGGGGGGATGGGGTTTTGGGTGAGGGGTGAGGGGCGTGGTGAGGGGAGGGTCTTGTGGGGTTGGGGGTGGGGGGGTGCGGTGGGGGAGGGGTGGGGGGTTTTCGTTCGAAACCCCGAAGAGAAAATCGCCCTGGGCAAATTGCAAGCCAAAAAAATCTCTGTTGTGGACGTTGAGTCCATTCTGCGTTGCCAACCCACGCTGGTATCAAAGGCATTTGAACCCTGAAATGGTGGTTCTTATTGCGGCTTTCACCACAAAGCACATGCTGCAACTCCCAAAAAAAGAGCTGCCCCACCCGGCGCTCCCGGTTAACTACCACAGGTGCCACAACCATGTAAGGAATTAAAAAGGCGGCTGGAGCTATTTGGGGCTGGGACTGCCCCTTACTAACCTTCATCTACCCGGGTTTTGACTGCAGGTAGTCAAACAGTTCCTGGTAAAACCTGGTCAACATACCTTTTGAGTTCCCTCCAATCATTGGAAGGACGCAAACCCGGAAAGGCCGATACGCTCGGATACGCTCACCGCCTGCTCCTCCAAGGGGTAGCCCTTGGAATACCAGTAGCACGGAATAGCCATGGACTTCAGCTCCAGCTCCACCAGCAGCTTCAGACATTCCCGGTAGCAGGTGTTCAAGGTATTCTGCGCCGCGACTTGGTACTTGTCCTCAACCAAAGGACCCAACAAACGCAGGTGAGCACCTTTTTGGGGCCGTGACTACAAATTTATGTGGGTCAAAACCAATGGTACCTACAATTGTTTAGTCCATTTTGGTGGGGATTGGGATGTTCACTGGGGGTAAGGGATTTTGACCCATCGCCAAATGGCAACCCCAAAAGGACAACCAAAAGACTTTGAAAGGTCGATTCGCCTCGGGCCTCGGTCCTTGGTGAGTCAGAGCAAGACAAGCCAAGCATGCGAAGTCGGATGGGAATTTGGAACTCAAACCCTGGATGGTATGAAATAAAGAGAGGCCGGCAGTCATTCTGCAACCCTTGCAATCTTTCCCAACCTGAAGGAAGAAATAACCCCGCCAAGTAAAGGATCGACATCATAGTGGGCTCATGTTGCCCCCAGATCGATGAGCTCGCCGTACAAATAGGCAGACAGTTGGAACCAGTGACCCCAGTGGAAACCGGATCCTTTTGGGGCCAAACACATACCAAACAAACCGTGGAACAAGTCACCAGGTGGTCAAACAGCACCCAACACCCATCCCTCAGTGGTTGAAACACGTGCCCCTCTACAATTACAGTCCTTTGCGCACCAATGTCGAGCCCGAATTCATGCACCTGGTTGATGAGTAGAGTTGTTTCACCAAAAGTGATGGATTGGCCCTTAAATAAGATTTTTCATGTTGACCCCGTATTCATCAACCCCAGTTTATTCATAGGGGGTGGGGGTGTTCCCTCCCAAAGTGCTGCTTGATTCCGCCGACATGTCACCCAGAATCGGACGCTCCCCTATTAATAAACAGGTTGGTTGATCCACATGGGGTCAACATAGGTCAACATTACTTGCTGGTGCTCGGTTGGGCATGTGGAAGTGAACCCAGGGGTTCCCTTAAAGGAAACCACAAGGGATGATTGTAGGGGGCATTCCATGTCTCATTCCCTGCAGAGAACCAGCAACATGAACGAACTCCGGGCTTTAGAAATGTGGGATGGCGCTTCACAGCCAGTGGCATAAGGCTGGCCTTTGATGCGCTTGATCCCTACTAACTTGGTTGACGTTGAAAGGGGAGCAACAAAAATAGCAGTTAAGTGCGGATTCCAACCACTAAACTACAATAAGCAAAAATGCAAAATGTTCCCAACAACAACCATGCTAAAACCAACTAACCATCACTGTATCTCTCGTGTGTGCCCCGCGAACGTCCCTGTGCCGCCTTGTACTTGGGGCCCACGGTAAGGACGAGACGCCTGAGCTGCTGTTCTGATGATTCAAATGGACATCCGGAGAAACAAAACCCAAACCGCCAGGGAGATTTCAAGACTTCAGAGTAGAAGCTAACATGGCTGTGTGTTTTCGTGTTTTTGAGAAATACAAAAATGCCCCCCCCAGGACAAACACACAAACACACACAAACACGCGCGCGCCATTGTCGCGTTTAGAATCCCTTGAGTTTTGCCGGGGTCCCGGTCCTTTTTGGGGCCTTTCGGTTCCGAAACTAGCATTCGCGCATTCGCCTGCCAAACATGAACGGAACCAAACAAAACCAACAAACCCAAAGAACATGCCCACCTAGGTCCTCCAGTAGAGAGGTTAGAATAAGGGTGTCCTTTTCTTCTGCAGTCAATTTCAGTAGGGGAACCCTCCCCCAAAAAAGGGCGAGAAGGGCACCTAGCTGGGGGACCTAGCCACAGCACTGAACTTGGGGCATCACGGGGACCGAGAAAAAAATAAGCTCAGGTGATATCCCCAACAGCAGGCGGTGCTCTTTTAGTGCTCGCACCACCCCGCAGCCCTCGCAGAACCTCGTGGAATCGTGGAACCCTCGTGAAACCCTCGTGGAACCCTGGTGGAACCCTGGTGGAACCCTCGTGGAACCTTACCTCAGGGCCGCCCCGGACCACCCCGGAGCCTATCTGGGCTGAGACCCCAAAGCTTTCAGCTGTTGGGGAAAAAGGAAAAAGGAAAAGGAAAACGTCCAAGGCAAGGCACTGGCAGGGCAGGTTGTATGCCTTACAGCTCCGTGCCTCCCCAGATCGGCAGGTGTCCAAATGCATGAGCTCCTCCAAAAGGTCCTGGAGCTCTGATCTGCTTTCCCGATTGTTTGAAACCCTTTGGTGAGCTCTGATCATCTTGATCGAAACCTGGACCCCCAAAAAACCGATTCATGTTTCTAAGTACCCCGTTTCTGTGGGTCAGAGGACAAGTTGGGGTTGTTTGAAAGTTCAGGAAGGCCCTGAAGTCCTATATGTTCTCTGTATTTAGTCTGGCCGATCCCATGTTTGGGTGGATCAACCGCCCCAGAAAATAATTGGAACTGGGCACTATGTGGTCTTTTTCTGGGGCCGAGTCCATGTCTTGGTGGGGGACAACTCGCCAAACGGTGGAAAGGTAGCAACAAAGAGCCTGTTCTCCTGACGCGGATTCCACTTTTTGGTAACACGGGAGCACAAGTCATGGGTATGCCACTGACGGGACCCCAGCCTTACTCCAGGTGAGGACGACTCCCTAAAAAGGGTAGGTACGCGGTAGGAGGTGGGTAGCTGAACGCCACTGTTGGGTTCGGTCCTTGGAGAAGCCTTACATATGGAAACACCCCCCCTCTGCCCGGATTCCACAAAGGCACATACACCGATTGCTGCAACCGGTGACCCAGGTGGAACAAGCTACGTCAACAGAAAACACTGGCAAAGCCACAAAAGCCAACAACTGAAACCAAGAACACGCTTCATTGTTCACATGGAACAACTTGAAATCCTGTATAAATTACAGACTTTAAACATTGAAAAAAGGGGCTCCATGGGATACACCAAATGCCCACTTGCGCTTTGTTCTGCTTCTTCGGCTACTTCCCCTGAATTCTCCACAAGCGCATTTTCAGGGCTTCCTGTCTACTTGCCCTGAACACCTCCCAACCGGAAACTCAATGCTGAAAACTGAAAACAACTACCATTTAAACAGAGATTCCAAACTGAATCTATATAAAAATTTCAAAAAATATTTAAACAAATCAGGGAGTCACAATTTTCAAGGTTGCTTTTTTACTCCCTGAAAATCCGGAACCTTGACTCGGCTTCCAACTGGTGGTGTGGATTTGTGGTTTGGGGTGGTTTCCCATTAGCCCTCTGCAAGAACCAGGGGTTCAAATCCAAATCCAAACCACCAATCCAAACCCATTCAATGGCAACCTGATAGAATAAGGCTACCAACTTTTTTGTGCAGTCCATGTTAGCAGGGGAACACAATCCCCCAAAAAAAGCCAAAAAAAGGGTTGAGCAAGGGCACCTGGCTGGGGGACCTAGTAGCTCTGGACCAAGAAGGGGGGAAAACAAAAGCGCCTGACCGCCATGCGCCAGCACGCGCCCGAAGACAGTGCTGCAGCCAGCCACGTAGCCCGTGGCCACTGGGGTCAGCAGGGCATCCGCCTGGATATGCAGCATGGGACTTGTCTAGGTCCTCCAGTAGAGAGGTTAGAATAAGTTGGTGCCGTTTCTAGTTTTTTGTGTAGTCTATTTTGGTAGGGGAACCCTTCCCCAAAAAAGGGTAAAAGGACACTACTGGGGGACCTGGAGGTTGTGTGCTAGGCCACCCGGCACCTTGTCTACCAGCTGCTCCCTACACCTACCTGGGCCCCCAGGTTGTTGCATTTGCAACTTCACACTGACTGACTGAGTGAGTGACTGACTGAGTGACATCCTACTGCTTCCAGTTGGCACTGTAGTGGGTAACCCTGCGGTGTTTCTACCCCTAGGCTTACATGACGGCTTCCCCTGGTTACCTATCGTAGTGGCTTGCCTGGAAGCACTGGGCATGGTTGTAATTGGGATATCTGGGGGTGCCCTTACAACCATGGCTATAACCTATGTAGATCTTGAACACCCAAGAAAGGGATACGTCCAAACATCAGCTTTGCATCCCTCAAGTCACGGGCTTGCCTGAAAATGGAAAATTCCCCGCAAATCCGCGATTTGTTCTTGGGTTCCCCTGTACCCTGAAACGGGTACCCTGAAACCTCGCTTCCTGAATGAATTGGCCAAAACAAGTCGGAGCTTTCATTTTGAATCCAAAATGGAACTCAGAGAGTGACTTCCGCAAGATGGCAAGAGCTTTGGTTCCAACAGCAACCCGTGCCTCAAGGCTGCAAAGGTCGCCCTGCCACAAGCTGAGCTTCGCGTTGATGTCATGGTCCACCTTGAATGGACCTCAGATGCGTCACCCCCGCCCGCGACACAAATTGTTTGGGCGAGTCGGCCAAAAATCGGAGACCCCGCAACATGGCTTCTGTCTTTCTGGTGTTAGTTTGAAAGCTGCAAAAAGTGGTGTCCTTAACAAAAAAAGTGTTTTCGCGATCTGCTTGCGATACTTGGGTCTATGTGGCAACCTCCCTAGGGGCTTGCAGATTAACATCGAAGGCCAACTGCCATCTATTCTTGGAAAATACTCCTTTGGCTCCTGGTTCCCAAAGGCTGTGACTCCTATAATTCCCAGGTTTGGAGAGTTTGGCTGGGGCGGGTGGCACCGACCACCTTACTCCCGGAAGCCCCTGACATTTTGGCCAAAGATGGCTAGCCAAATGCGGCCCTTCCGGGGGGTCGAGTCCCTGACATCAACTAAGGTCCTCCAGTAGGTAATCTGAACTTTGTGTTGGCCACTAAAACATAAAACTGCCTACCCAAAAGGTAGAAAGAAAATCCAGCAACTCAGGAAGTAAGATATAATCAACCGGGGTTTTTCGGGGTCAACATGACTAGGTCCTCAAGTAGATAGGATAGAATCAGGGTACCAACCTTTTTCTGCAGTCTATTTTAGTAGGGGAACCCTCCCCAAAAAAAAGGGTAAAAGGGCACCTCGCTGGGGACCTAGTCCAAGGTCGAGTTTTGTGAGATCAATTGAAAAACAAGGCCCTTCCAACCCAAACATTTGAGCGGATCCTCATCGATCTTAAGGCTTGGGACCGAAATGGGCGGGGCAATTTGTTTAAGGTTGGTGCCTTCTTTGTGCCTTTTAAAAGGGAACCCACCAAAATGCGTGTTCTTGTTGTTCTTTTTCTCTTATTTTTGTGTTTTATGTTGTTTTTTTTTTGGGGGGGGGGGGGGTTCTTTTACAAAGACACACCACTTGAAATGTCTTGAGATGTCCAGGCCGCTAGCGTAGAAGCTGCAGCCATTCTTTGGTACGCCAAAAACCTCCAAATGCTGCCTGACTGGCAATGCATGAGTGGATTGGCCAAAAAAAGCGCTGTATATATTTACCACTAAAATCTAGGTCCTCCAGTAGAGAGGTTAGAATAAGGGTGCCAATTTTTTCTGTAGTCGATTTTAGCAGGGGAACCCTATCCAAAAGGGTAAAAGCACCTAGCTGGGGGACCTAGAAATGGTGCACTCAGACGGTCCAAACCCAAACAGTTTGATTTCCAGGAACTCCGGGAGCGAGTTAAACAAAATTGGGCTCCTCAACCTGCGGCAAGCAAACCCTTAGGTTAAGGCCCGACTCTCTGCGGTCATGTTGCATCCGGACATGGGGAAACAACGTCTTTTGGAGGTGTTTCAAAGATATGGCCTATATAACCCTCACACTTGCCCCAGCCAGTGTTTCACAGTGTTGCGCTTGGAGTCCCCCTTCGTTGTTCTGAAAGCCCTTCGTGCGGCAAAAACAACTCGGAAGAAGCCGGAGTTCTAGTGCTGAAACATGGCCAAACCACTCCAAACATTGAACCTTCAACAAGGAACAACAAAACAACAAAATAACAACTGTGGCAACCGCCAAACAAGTGTGCCCAACGCGAAACACAGGGGGTCTGGCTCTACAGCATGGATGAGAGTAAATACTGACCGTTTTGCCACAAGCCCTTAGGTTGTTCACGAGCAAAGAACTCAGGAGGCCTTGGCCAATATGGAACATTAACAAGTAAGACTTGGAGCTTTTTGAAATAGCTCATCATCCTCCGCACTTCGCGGCAAACGCCAAAATTATCACAATGCCAGAAAGAAGTATAAAACATCAGACTCACTTTTTGAGTGGCCCAAAAAAGCTCAAAACTTTTTGCTTACCCCTGAAATGGTCCAAACCCAAAACGTCCAAAAGTCCAGCACATAGGTGGCATCTTGGATAAATTCCTGGCCCTGGAAAACAACTCTTACAGTAACCAGTGAGCGCCATCTATTTCTAGCCAAGCTAACCTAAAAAAGGATGCCAATGGTCCAGAAAGGGTCGAGATTATATTTAAAAAATAAATAAAAATGAAACAACACTAAAAAACATGGCCCTCCGTCCAGAAACTCCTGCGAGCCAAGTGTCCAGCACTCGAGGCGCTGGACGCTTCGCGCCAGTCGCCCCAGCCCCATGGCGTGAGCGCAGCTAGGGGCACTGCCACCGGGGGCGGCAAAGGTGCCAATGGTGCCAAAGCCTCCTCCTCGCCTGTCGGACAAAAAGCAAAGTCGACCGTCGACCCCTCCATTTGCTGGAATTTCCCCTGTGCAAAGAATATCTCTGGGTGAAACCAGGTCTTCTGAACGGTGCTGAGAAACGAGGACTTCGCAACCATCCACAGTATCTAAGAGTCGCAATCAGTCGCAATCTATGGGAAATATGGCTGTGGGTGAAAACCCTGTACCCCTGGTGAACATCAAAATAGGTGGCAATGGATGTTCACCCACCCCAAAATGGAGCCATAGGTTATGCCCCATGGCCAACTCGCAAAGTCGACCCCTCCATTTCTGGGCTGTCCGTTTTCAGACCCCCCGCTAACAAGATTTGCTGAAGCCCCCTGTGAAAGAATATGCCCACCAGTGCACAAGTACTCTGAAGCAAATTTGAGTGTATTTGGTTAGGGGACCCCCCCAAAAAAAAGAAGTGTCCCCATCAGCACCTCTAGGTTCTATCCTGATGTTTTCCTGATGAAGGGGGTCGCTGTTTTAGTGGGTTTGCTTTCCAGGGGGGCCCACGCGTCTTTTCTGAGGCTCGGTACCCTTTTTTTGGGGCTTGGCCCCAAACAAGGAAACCCGAGCAATTGCAGAGAGCCCCTGAGTAGAGTGGGCAGAAACTTGGTAACCCTGGTGAAGGCCGAGCATAGGACCCTTGGGCGTCGATCTAGAACAGACCCAGAGCACCCCATGGTAAATAAACCCATGCACTTGTCCCACAAAGCGTGCGCTCCGCCCCTTCCAAAACCAATACAACAATCATGTGGCAACGAGAAGCGGCACTCCTGCTGAGACCTCCACGCATCCCCAGCCCAAGGGGAAAAAGTGGTTTTGGCTGGGTAGTGCTGGGTAGGGGCCCATGGATTCCATGGACTACCCAGCTCTGTCGCTTGGTACCCTGGAACTCACTTGCCAGGGCCCAGGTCACCTTGAAAAGTGGACCAAAAAGGGAACGCCTAGAAATAAAAGCGGAAAACGATGAACTAGGTCCTCCAATAGAGAGGTTAGAATAAGGGTAGCCCTTCTTTCTGTAGGGGAACCCCCCCCCCAAAAAAAAAAAGGGTAACAGGGCACTACTGGGGGACCTAGATGAAAGAGGACCCAAAGGGGAAAACCGAGAGGTTCAAGGGTTGGTTTGCAACCGAGCCGAGGCTGAATGCAATTCCGAACATCCACACCGAGTCATGTCACCCAGCGCCTGTGATCCACGCGAGGGGGTCCGAATCTGCCGTGATCTGCGCTACGGCGTTGGCCTGGAGCGAATGGGAGACCCACCCCTCCACGCATCCCCAGTTGAAGGGTGATATTTTGGCCGGGTACTGGGTAGGGGTCCATGGATTCCATGGACACCCATCTCTGTCGCTTGGTACCCAGTTCCACTGGGTACCGAGCCTCAGAAAAGACGAAGCTTCCCCCACCTTCCAAACTCTCAAGTCTGATATCCGTTGGCCCCCTTGGATACCATGGGAATAGCTCCGTAGGTAAGGCAGCAGGCAGCTTGTGTGCAAGAGGCCTCTGATCTTCTTTTTTCACTGGGATGCCGTTTTCCGCTGAGGTCGTCTTGGAGCCGTCAGCGCCAACACCTTCCCCCAAACTAGGGGAGTTTCGCAACTTGCACGCGCTCAAAAGAAAGCGTCCCTCTTTTACCTGGGCTGTCCGTTTTCTGATATGCTGAAAGTCGACAACTGCTGGTGGGTTCAATGGAAACCTAACCACTAAACCAACTAAGAACAACCAAACAACGACGGGGATGGCTGGGAACCACCAAGTGATTGGCCCCACAACAGTCTGAACTTCTTATTCACCAAAATGGGCTTCCCAACAAGTTTTAAGTCCAGGAACTCAGGAAGTGAAGTGTTCTTTGAACATTGCTCGCCCCTTAAGAGGAAACTAAACGCTTGTGTCAGGTTGATTCGCCGGGCCCATTGGTGATGGCGCCAACCACCCCAACCCCTACCCTCCCCCCACCCCCCTCCCCCTCGAAAGCCCCTGCGGCCGTCCTGTCGCGCCAGCTCATCCGCCGCCGCGCCCAGGACCAACGTGGACTGCCGCACCACCGCGCTGGCGGCATCCGCCACGCTGTCCATGGCGAAGATGTTTTCCCGCGGAAAAAACGCGCGGAGGGCAGGGAAACTGGTTGGCGGTTCTTGGCGTCTCAAATGAAATATCCGGAAAATGGTGTTGTTTTTTCTTTGAAACCAACTTCTCTTTCTTTTCCATTTGTTTTTTTTTTGGGGGGGGAGGGGGAAGGCTCAAAATGACATATCCTCTGCAAATGGTGGGTTTCATGTTGGTTTCCGATTGAAAATAACCAAGAAAGGGCTCCCCCCCAAAAAGGCAAGGGCGAGGTGTATGAATGGGAACTTCCTGCAGTAACATAAATCTAACATCCCAAATGAGAATTGGATCCCCAAGCAACAGACCTACAATCTGGCGAGCTCGTCTTTTGGGAAGCAGTTCGAGGGGGGGGAGGGTTGGTGGGGGGGAGGGGTTGGGGGGGGCTGGAAGTATATACTTCAAGTGCAAAGTACGAGAAGGCCGGCCGGTTTTGCGGAAGGTATTTGGGAAATTACCTTAGGTCAATTCATGTTGCAGTCTCCGACCAACTGCCCGGTCGATTTGCAAAGAACACCTTGAGCTTGCTGCGCAAGATTGACAGCTGGACAGGTAAGGAACCGAGTATGTAAATCGCAATGAGAGAGACTTAGTGCTGTTTCACACTCTTTAGCCAGCACTGCGGGTAGAACTTCGGCCGAATATAAAGAAATGGGGTCTCTACACTTTCATCTGTTCGCTCGGCCTGTAGCCTAAGACGTTGCTTTCTTCATAGTGCTGTAGCCTAAGGCCGTAGCATGTTTTTGTCGGAAAAGGCGACTTTCCGACTGGGAGCCTGTGAAACTTCTGCACTGAGCCTGAAAGGCTGACTCAAGATGCACGCTGCATGCCCATGTAGCCCTGGACCCCCGAGCGGCCTCGTGTTTCGGCGTTTGTACCCCTTCTTTATGGGTGAAAGGCAGAACAAAAAAGAAGGTTCTCGCAAAGGTCCAGGACGGGAGTTGCTCACCACTTGGTTGACGTTGAAAGGGGAGCAACAATTCTGAAATCTTAGCAGCCAAGTGGCTGGATTTCAACCACTAAACCACAAGAAGCAAAAATGGCTGTGGAATCATGGACCAAAACCTGCGTAACCCCTCCTGGTTAATTTTGAGCCACATCCAAATGGGAAACATGTTTCCCAACCGAGACTAACTGCCACCTCCCCTGCGGCCGGAAAGGATTGTTGCCCTGAGGGACTCGGAAAATGGGTTCTGAACAGCTTGGGCTGTTCAGCGAATGCTTCGATTGAACTCAGGGCCGGACCTCGTGCAAGCGGCGTTGGTGCTAACGAAAAATGGGGGGAAAACTGGGCGCCACACTCCAAAACCCCATAAAGGTTGGAAAAGTCTGACCATGAATATCATCATTCAACTCGTGGAACTGCGAGGTCAGGCTGGACTTCAGGCATGTGTTTTTGTTCCTCCTGTTTTATATAAAGGTGTGCAGGATATACACCACTTAAGGGGTATACTGCCTTACAACCTTGTGGAGGTACAAAAGCCGTCCATAGCTCCAAAACCCGTACCTAAAAATTGGGTCGACAAAGGATTTCAATCGCAGGGGAAATTATTTTGACTGGTGGGGATCAAAGGCAGACACTGGAAATGGTGGTTGCTCTTTCTCCTACCACTTCCCCTTCCGTCCGCGTTGCCCTCCAGGGAAATGGTCATTCGTGAGCCACGGCTCTGAGTAGCCATGAAGTACGTGGTCCACAGGTCGAAGCCCACATTGGTCGCCTGAGAAATCTCGCTCCCTAGCTCTACCCAAAGAAGAAAAAGATAAACAACATGCTTGGAGTCTAATTCATCCCCAAAAACGCCAGTCAAGGCGGTGTTTAGCTCAACCTGGAGAGCTCAAGGAACCTCGTGTCCCGTCCCGCCTCGTGTCCCCCCCGGAGATTGCGAGGGTTGGAGATCTCAATTCCCTTCCCCAACCCATCATGTTCCTCAGTTGCCCAACCTATGCTTGCAAAGCAATCTCGCCTGATGTGTTGCATGCACACCAACAGGCGGGCTTGTTCTTGAGCATCGAATTGCTTGATTGTTATAGTTGAAGGTTCAATGCAATCAGTCATATCTCCAACGTCGACCTGGGAATACAAGGCTATACCCTTTTGTGACATTTGCAAAAAGTGGATCAACAGGGCAACAGGGGAAACAAAATGCGGTCAGCTCCGGTCAGACTCGGTCGATTCGCCCAAGGGGCCTTGGTGAATTAACCTTCCCACGGCGACCCTCGCCAACTCGAAGTGTGAAATGGGGAACGTCTCGCCTCATGCGCGCAAGATCCTCTACTTGTTCCAAGGGAGCCCTCTGGGCTGTTCAAGATGGACAGAAATCCCAATCTTGAAAGCGAAACTGCTCCAAACAAGAAGAAACATCAACTCAGTTGCCCAAAGGACCCAACAAAATAACAGATTAACCTTTCGGGTCATGCCTAAACAGCATTGGAAAAGCAAGGGGTCAAAAGTCGGCTTTGAACAACTGTGTCAAAAAGGAAGCAGCCACAAACAAAATAACTATACAAATGCCAAGCACTGGAGGTTTCTGGATATGCCCGGTTTCTCACCTCCGCCTGTGGAGAGATCCTTGCGGCTGAGCCGCGATGGCGATGAGGTAAAGTATCATGTAACAGTTCTCCCGGGTATCTTTGAACTCCTTGGCCCGCGCGCAGCGCGGGTTGATTCCCCGTTCTTTGCAACCAGTGTTCTTTTTAACTTCCAGTTGTGACCAAGTGGTGCCTGAAAAGCGGGATCCCTGAAAAGAGTGGTTGAAGCCTCCCCTACACCAGGAGGGGAAAAGACACATACCGATGGGTTGCCGTTTGCATCATGGTAAAAGTCGACACACGTTTTTTGTGTGTTGTTTTTTTTTTTGTAGTGGGTTAAATGAAAATCCAACCACTGAACCAACTAAAAGCCACTGAAACGCTAAGGAACCGGGTGGCTGGGAACCACCCCAAAAAGTCGAAACACCAGAAACTCAGGGAGTGAGAGGCTCGAATCTTGACCCTGGAATCTGGCACTCTTGGTGGAAGCGCAGGATCCCTCTCTCACTTGCCCGATGCCAAATATAGAAGGTGATGACCTTTTGGTGCCACCAAAAATGGTCTCCAAAAAGCGGAGACTAAAAGTCAAGTTTGAGCAAAAGGGCTCTTATATGGGACACCACCTGTTGATCTGAACCGGGGTGTCTAGTGCTTGATGTTTGCTCAAAAGTTCGTCCGATTTTTCTCCGAACAAACACCTACCTGCTACTTGAAGGGGCCCGCTTGCTTGACCTGCGATTTGTTGGAAACGTTACTCAAGAAAAACATGGTGTCTGCTTTAAGGGACCCGCCACAAATTGTAATTGTCCAAATTAAACCAGCCCCGGAAAAGGGTACCATCAAAAACACACACACACATGCTGCCCATTGGGTGGACACCCTGAATATATTGCACGGAACAAGGAGGCTCTGTGAGTTACCGTGTTTAACAATGGTTTTGTGGTTGAGCTTGGTTTACCTGGAAGATGTAGTTGACTTCCACCATACTCCATTTCACTCGCCGAAAGGGCCTAGCAGCAAAACGTGAACAACTTTTGGGACCTCCAAAAGTGGTTCCTAGAAAGCCGGACAGCCAAAACGTTGTTTCGGGTCGGATGTTTGAACGACTGAGGATTGCCAGCCATGAGAATCTGGCCGTTTGAAGCCCCAAGGAGAAGCCAGCGTACTACTTAAGCGGCGGCTTGCATCGCATCCAACCCTAGCCTAGGTCCTCCAGCAGAGAGGTTAGAATAAGGGTACCACCCTTTCTTCTGTACCTGCAGCTTCAAACGACTAGAAAAAAGTAGGTGTTTTGGTCATTGTATTGCTTTTGCCTGTTTCGTATCGTTTTTACCGCAAAACGACTAAGACGCCTAGAAATTTGAATTATTGGGTGTTTCCTTCTTGCACAGGGCTTTCTCTCTCATTCAGCTTGATATTGCCCACTACACCAGATGTTCGAATCTTCAGAAACTTCTAAACACTTCGAATCCTTCCCTGCATCAACACCCTTCAATCCTAGCTGTGCGGGGGAGTGGTGCGTAGTCTAAACATGCTTCGAGTGAGAAACGCACTTTGTTCGTACCACTTTTGGCCGCAAAACGAGCGCAAAAACCCGCAAAACGCCCGCAAAAACCCGCAAACGAGCGCAAATCCCAAAAAGTGGGTCACTTGGGGTTGTTTCATGCACTGCTCGCTCAAAAGCATGCCCTGATTGGGCACCGATGTAGGGTCATGCTTGCAACGGGAAATGCAAGCACCGAGAAAGGAAACTATATTGATATGAGGTCAGATATTGTTGGCTCAAATATCCTCCCAAACGGCCAGCAGCGCGTTAGACGCCGGCCTTCGTACTAATTTTCCAGCGGTTCGTACTAGAACCCCCTGTTTTCCTCCAATAGTACCCATTACCCAAAACGCCCAGAAATTTCTGGGTGTTTGAATCTCCAGGTAGTCTATTTTAGTAGGGGGGTTTCCTCCCGACCAAAACAGGGGTGAGAGGTCGGGCACCAATCGCTGGGGGACCTAGTGGCAGTGCTTGGTTGCGAGCGAGCCGCGAAGCTCATGGCATCCGCTACTCGGGAGCAGATTTCGGCCATCAGCAAGTTCCCCACGCAGACGATGAGGGAAAACGCCAGCGTGTAAACCTGAGCCCCGAATCGAAACCAACTACTACTACTACTACTACTACTACTACTACTACTACTACTACTACTACTACTACTACTACTACTACTACTACCCTTCCTCCCACTAACATGGCCGTGGGTCAAAACCCTGGGTATCCCATTTTGGGGTAGGTGCACCACCCGTTTTAGTCTATTTTAGTGGGGTCAAAGAAACTATTGCAAGGAACTCACAAGAACCTGAGTTCCCGAAACTAAACACAAACCGCAAGGAACTCAAAAGAACCTGAGAGCTCTAGGCGACACTTCCCCATTCTTTCCAGGGATCCGAATCTTTCCAGAAAACCAAAACCCCAGAGGAAACAGCTGGTTTTTGAAAAGAACGATGGTAGAAAAGAATGGGGGAGACAAACTACCCTTCCTCCCACTGACATGGCACCAGTGGGAGGGTACCTGGAAGATCAGTTTCCTGGAGGGACCCCTTGTCAGGTGCCACGTTAGTGGGAGAGAGGGTAACGCAAGGCACTCAAAACAACCTGAGCTCCCTACAAATTAACCAAAGGAAATCGAAAGTTCCCTACAACCTAAAGAGAAAGTCCCCCAAAAGGAGTGTCCTCTACAATTCCCGAAGAGAAAGGAAGGGACTCAAAAGAAAGAGGGTCCCCCAAGAGGAGTTTCTACAAAGGATGGCGTTTTGGGTTCCATGTGAACCTGCAGAGTATGTCAATCCGAACGGACACTTGTCAACATAAGGCCTTATTTCCGGGCTTCTTTGGTCTCCTTGTCAGCCGTGACATTTGGACCCACCAATCACCCCCGAGAACCCGCAACCAAAAGACACCCAAATCCCCGTGACGGCTTCAGCTTCGTCTTCCAGACCCAGACCAAGAGGTAGCCAAAAGCTGGTTGAGGGCTGCAGAACGATTTGGGTGTGTGTTTTTCCCTGTGGACTCCAGTTTCCCTTCCTGTTTCCGTACCAACCAACAAAGACAGACCCGCTTGGAGGGTGGGACATACTAGTTCCAACTTCCGGGCCCCCCCTTAAATCGCCTTCCTGTGCGCTGATAAAAGGCCGAGATTTTGGAGTAGGATTTGATCAAACTCCGTGAGCTTGGCTTGGCTAGGATCAAACTCCTCGGACCCCGGGCTGACCTTTCCTACCAGGCAAAGAGTAAGAATCACATGCGAGAGGATGCAAAGCCTCAACTCAGTTGCCCAGAAAGTACCCAGAAACAAATGGGGATCCACTTGTCCCTCTTGCTCGTTTCGTGGATTTGTGCCAGGCTTCATGACACAAGGGACTCAAGGCCAATCCGTGCTCGTGTATGTTCAAAACGAAGGACCGATTTTGTTCAGGCGGGAAGAATGGGTTTTCTGTTGGGTTCCTCCGAGAAAAAAAAAGAAAAACAAACTAATCACTTCCTGAGTGGACTGGCCACAAAAAGTTTCAATTTGTTGCTTGCCACGGACATGTTCGAAACCAAAAGGGGATCCCTTCGAGAAACACGCCATCTCGTGCCCATGAAGCCACGTGGCCCTAGAAAAAATAATCGGCCCAACCGCGCTTCACAACCCTTGGCATGATAGTAAACAGCCTTGCTTTTTGCAGGCCCCTACTAACTAAACATGAACAGAACCAACAAGCAAAGGAACAAAAAATAGAGCACTTACCAAATGAGTCTGCTTTCCAGCCCCCAAACCTAATAATGAAAAGCCAAACTGAACAAACAAAAGAAAGCACCACCTGCACAAGGAAAATGCCCCAAGAGCTTTAAAGCACTGAGAAAGCTCGCACCACTCCCTTGCGCGCCAAAAGGCAACTCCCGGTTGCCGACCGCCCTCGTAGTTGAACTTCAAGATGGACCATGCCTGAAATCATGGAAGCCAGCTACCAGACATCCACTGGATTCTTGGATGTAATGAACATGTTCAAGGATTTCCTGAAATCAATCTGATTTCCTAGTGTATTTTCAAGGATTTCCTGAAATCAACTTGATTTCTTGGAGTATTTCAGAAGGATCTCCTGTAGTTTTTTCCAAGTAGCTGGTCTCTTTGAACGCCGATTCTGGCACGGGCTGTTCCAAACCTTCGTTGGGCCAAAAACCGTGGCGCACCACTCAAGGCAAACCATGCCCGTCTTTGGCGGGATCTTGCGGGCTGAGCTCAGACCAAGCTTCCAGGGGTTATTCCTTGTCCATTCTTTTCAATCATCGTTCTTTTCAAAAACCTGCCGTTTTCTCTGGGTTTCTGGAAAGGATCCCTGGAAAGAATGGGGAAGGTACCCCATTGAAAGCTGGTCGAAAAAGGGCCTCAAAGGCAAAAGGCACGTTGTTTGGCAGGGGCGGCCTTTCGTTTTTGCAGGCGCCCAAGGAGTTATGGCACTCCGCCGTTTGGGAAGCGTAAATTTGCATTCTTTCAGCAGCAAATCAGGTCCCAGGCGCGTAGGGCGCGTAGAAGATGATCATCCAGCCAAGCAAGCACAGCAGGATGCTACCAATGCCCTTGGCCAGCCTGGCAAATGGATTTACATCCGCCTGAGACGCCGGAGACCTGCTTTCCTCCAAACTGTGGTGTCCTTTGACCAAAAGGAAACCTGTAATCCAACAACACCTGGCATAAAATACGAACCCCCAACACAAACAAACTAAGCTGTGCCTGGAGTCTTCTTCTAACCCTTCAAAAATTGCTTGTCATTACCCCAAAAAGGGGTCGTGACCCCATTTGTAAGGGTCATGAAGACTCCAGATGGTTACTGTGGTTCCAACATCCTGACATAGTGAAGGAGGCTGCCAACCCTGCGCCTTTCTTTGTTCGGCTGAAACTTCTCGCATGATTCTAGACGCCGAGCTCAAAACCAGCAGCCGGCTGCAAGGATCCAAGGCGCCCACCCTTGCTGAACCCGAGTCGTCGCTCAGCTTTCGAGATGCCAGAAGCTTTTCTACCAGAAGCTTCCTACTGATTGTCACTGCTGACCCCAGATTCGTCAACCCCAGTTTACTAGTATGGGGCGTGGGGGGCCCTCCAAAAGTGGTCTGATTCCCCCACATTTCACCCAGAATCGGACACCGCCCTTGAATAGACTGTTTTTTCTCAACAGCTGAAAGCTTTGGGGTCTCAGCCCAGATAGGCTCCGGGGTGGTCGGGACGGCCCTGAGGTAAGGTTTCACGAGGGTTTCACGAGAGTTCCACGAGGGTTCCACCAGGTTTCCACGAGGTTCTGCGAGGGCTGCGGGGTGGTGCGAGCACTAAAAAGAGCACCGCATGCTGTTGGGGATATCACCTAAGCTTATTGTTTTTCTTTTTGATATGGGGTCAACATTACGCCGTTTCTTCGGCCCGACCTGGGATGTATTGTCTCCGGGTAGGTCATGAGGAGGAGCACTCATTTGTTGCCGAAAGGTCCAAGGGGCCTTTGGCGTCACACAAACGACAGACTGCCGGAACAACCTGCCTAGTGTATACTGATATTGCATCTAATCAATCGACTGTGGGACCTTTTCAACCCTTGGTACGGTAGCGAAACACGTGATTTTTGCTGCAGCCCCCCACTAAAAATGAACAGAACCAGAAAAAAAAAACTAACCACCTAACTAAGCAAATGCCAACAACGGTGCAGGGACTTTCCGGAACATGTCCCGCGTCTGAGATTGGAAGATAGGCTGAAGAGGTGCCCGCCCAACACCGAAAAACAAACTCTCGAGCCCGGGCGAAGAGATGCGGCCGATGCCTCCAAAGCTTGTCGTTGAAAGGAACCCCGTCGATGTTGTTCCAGTGTATCTCAGGATGGCTATAGTTGCTCAAAACACTTCACGAATCTCGACGCCAAAGCGCTCCCCACTATCTGTCAGTAGCCGTCTTAACCAAAAAACAAAAGGCCGTACTTGCTGACTTTGATACCCCGTGAAACAAGCCCAAATAATGAGGCCAGTATGGCGCAGTCAGAACTCGATCCTCATGCAGATTACGGAGTTTAGTGACCCCAATGACCATCCCTGCCAACCCCGAGTGACCAAAGGCAATGGACTTTTCGGGTGCATGTAAAGCATTCATAAAGACAAGCCTTTAACACCGTCTGAAGGTTTCAACCCATGGTTGCAACCCCTTAGAACGTGGCCAATAGTTGGGGTGGGGTTTGACATTGGCAACCCAAAATCAAAAGATGATGTTTAAAACCACCAGGCGGTTAGACAAAGTTTAGGGAACCTTGGCCTCCTGAACACAAACATGAACGCACACTTGATGGCTCTATTTCACATATGCCCCAGCCTTTTGACCAAAGAAACAGCTGAATTTTTGGGCTCGGAGACCCCAAGAACAACTCACCGAACCGATTGGACAGAAGTCAGAAGTCCCCAAACTTTTGTGCAAGCCACTCAAATGGGGGGGGGGGGGTGTGAGACAACTCATCAGCGTTTTGGCCAGAAAGTTCGTGTTTCCTCCGGGTGTTCCTTCGAGTTTTCCGAGAAAAGTTCCCTACTTTGACGTTCGGCCAAGTTAGAAAGGGTTGTAACTCACTAACAGGGTTAACTCCACTGAACGGGCAACTGACAAGTGAGCAACCTACTTTACCAGCAACTTTCTAACCCGGCCCTTCACAGCCCAAGTATCTAGGGGCGCCTCCCCATTCTTTCCAGGGATCCTTCTTTCTGGAAAACCTCCAGAATCCAAGGTAAAACGGCTGGTTTTGAAAAGAACGATGGTTGAAAAGAACGGGGAATCAAGCCCTAGATTTTAGGGGCTACACATGTTGGGGTCCTTGAACACGGATCATGAGCCGCCGCCGCCGCCGCTTGCATGCCAAGGTGCCCTGGGCCCTTGACACCCAACAACTTACTCACCTGGGCCCCTGACACCCAAGGGTCGAGAGCGTTCCTGGGCTGTCCTCCGTTCCTCTGCTAAGAGTTTCACTAGTGGGTTACATGCAAACCCAACCACCTTCCACCCACTAAAAACAGCTAAAACCGAAGTTGAACCAGATGGCTAAGCTAAACCTTCCACCCGCTGAAAACAACTAAAAACCCAAGTTGAACCAAATGGCTAAACCAAAACACCATAAGTGCCCAATCCCCGCTGAAACCAACGCCTCAACGACTCATGAGTCGCTTTTCCCGTGCCGTTTTCGGAGTCGAGGCGCCCCCTGGGGCTCGTGTTGCGCCTTCTGCACCTGGAGGCTGTGGCCGCGAAAGCCCAGGCCGTTGGAACTCAGGCGCCGCAAGGCCTCGAGAGACGTCAACAGGGGCTTCGTGGCTTCGTGGCTTCGAGCCGGCGTTTTGTTTGTTCTTTTTTTTTGTGTTCTTTTTTTTTCTTTTTTCTGAGGGCGACCTGGGATTCCAAGATGTTTGAGACTGGTGTCCCCCTAAAAAACACACTCCTGAGACAAATGTGAACATGTGCAAGGCATGATTCTAATGGTACCTTCCATGTCCATTCTTTCCAGGAATCCTTCTTTCTAGAGAACCTCCCAAAAACCCAAGGAAAACGGCTGGTGGTTGAAAAGAACGATGGTTGAAAAGAACGGGGAATCAAGCCCTAGACTTTTGGGGGGCTACACGGGGGCCTTGGGCCCCGGGCGGGGGGGGGGGTTCGGGGTTTGTTGCTTGAGGGGCTTAGCTGTGGCTTAGCTGTCCCAGTGATTCCATTGACCTAGATACTAGGTAACCCTAAAACACATACACGCAATGTAAACGCCAAAAGGACAATAGCCAAGGGTTGCCTACTACTATAAGGGTATCTGGGATCCACTCTATGTGTGTTTTGTTGATTCCCCCCCGCCCCCCCCCCCCCAAGGCCAAACCCAAAAAAACATGGGGTATACGGTATACGACTGTTTTAGATGATAGAGTCCCCTGTTCCATTCAAAGTAGTGACTTGAGGATAATGGAAAGCCCTGAAATTCTTCGTCTGAACTTGTGGCACCGTGCCCAAAAACTTGTTCAACGGAGAGGGGCGCGAAAAGAACAAGCCTGGAGATGCCAACACGCGTTCCCAATCGGGTGCGTCTTTTCAAAGGGGGGCTCAAAAATTGTGGTTGCTGCAAACAGCGAGTCTTTGGGCAATCTTCTGGCTTCTCTTTAATGGGGGCCGGAAACCGGTCTGGTTGTCTCTCAACACATTTTGCGATTGAAAGAGCCATTAGGTTCACAATGGTTCACATAGCCACCACCTAGGTTTGTCATTGACCTACCTCCATGATTTTACCAAAGTGACCCCCTCAGTAATAGGTTGCATCGAAACCATCCCAGTTTCTGTCTTTGATAACCCAACCTTCAGAAGTAAGTGGAACCACAAATAAAAGGTGATCACCTTGTCTGGTCACGACGAAACATGGACCAAATTTTGGAAACTGAAAGGTCATTTCAGGTTGATTCGCTTTGGTCATCTTTCTCTCAAAGGCGGAATGTATGCGTCCATATATGAACCCCTGCTATGAACCCCTATTTTATGGGCAAATTAACCGTCATGGCTTAGTTATGGGAATCAGCCTTTTTTGGAGGTCCCGAAATTGATTCCCATGGGCTCACATGGCAGTTTCTCAAAATGTGGACCTTCTTTTAGTTGGTTTTTCCAAGGGAAACCAAACGGGAATCCATCCTTTTCGGGTTTTTTATGCCTCCTATGCTGAGAAATACCCATATACACCCCCCATACAATTAGCTTCCGTCCGCTGGAGCGAGCGAACCCGGCGGTTCTCTGCCCGGTTGTTTCGCTGGCCTCGTCTCGGGCCTTCTCGGTTTCGAAGACGGCGAAGGCCGTGGAACTGCTCCTGGAGCGGCTGGCGGCGAGCGGGGTCCGGCTGAAGGCTTTGGGTCCAGCTTCCTGGTGCGATAAGTAGGGAATGTGGGAATGAACCTAGGGGGTCCCCTTAAAGGAAACCTAAACAATCCCCTTCAAGGCAACCTATGGGATGCCCTTAAGGAAACCTAGTCCCCTTAAAGGAAACCTAGGGGATTCCCTTAAAGAAACCTAGGGGGTCCCCTTAAAGGAAACCTAGGGGATCCCCCTTAAAGGGTCACCTTTGAATATATGCCGGGGAAGCAAGAAAAGGTGCCTGGAGTCTGCTTCTGACCCTGAAAAAAATGGTTGGTCATGACCCAAAATAAAGATACAAAGTTCGGCATTTGAAGGAGTAAACCACCATGGGGGGTGGGCGGGTAAACCACCATTCGAATTTGAATTCCGGCGGCATTTTGAGTCGATGTCACTTGACTGGACGTCACTGAGCACCCGTTCGGAACTCCTGGAATTTCTCCCACGTATTTCACCAGGTTGCTTTGAAGAGGAAGTTGATTTTCCAAACGTTTGTAGGCTTCCATTTGGTGAAGGCCCCAGAAAAAATGGAAAATATTTCCAGTAGTGACGAATTCCTTTTAACACTTATTCCAGCTACAACAATTTTCACCATACCTTGGCTGACGTTGAAAGGGGAGCAAACATTTAAATTTTAGCAGCCAAGTGGAGATTTCAACCACTAAACCACAAGAAGCCAAAATGGGAAAAATGTTTCCTAACAACCACCGAGATACCCAGCCCTTCCTTTCAGCTTTCAGCTTGCACCAGGGATCCTTACCAGCTTTTACATGGCCGGGTTCCCTGATCTGCGGTTTGCGTGCCTGGAATCAAGCAGCATACCGCAGAGTCAGTGCCATTCAGCTCCATGGACTCCAGAAAACCAGTGGCTGAGATGAAAAACATCGACCATTGGGAACGCCGGACCGGATCCGTTTCAGAAACTTGGCGGGGAATTCCAGTCTGCATACTGAGCCCCGATCGGACCCCGACGGCCAACTTACCCGTCACCTGGTATGGCAAGGGATTCCCGGTATCTAAAGGTAATTGTTCATACCTCTTCCTTGGCTTCCCTGCCCCACTTGGGTAAAACAAGAAAACAAACATGGTAGAAGATCAAGCCTCTTCCCCCCCGAAAAAGTTGTTTTTTGCCCCCCAGTCCCAATTCGGGGCCCTTGTGCCCAAGGAACCGGCCGGTCCCCGCCGTCCCAGTAGAGCCGCGCCTCATCGAGCCCACCAGCTCCCGAAGCTCCTGCTGGCGGAACCACCGCTCCCAACGGGAAAGACATCGGTGCCCCGTCACGTGTCTTGCCGGGGTGGGTTGTGGGGGGGGGGGGGTTGAAAGCGAAAGTGACCCCCAAAAAAAAAACAGACACCGCAGACTTTCTGAAGGAAAAAACACTGTTGAGAGAAACACCCACTTTGGTCGGGCGATCATTGAAAAAAAAGGAGAGGATCCTCCCTGCGGAAAAACAAAGTAGTGGCACATCAATGCAGCAAAGGAAACTACCAGGGAACTAGCATCTGGCCATAAGGAATATGAACTGATTTTGAACAACTTCCCTTGTTGGTGCATTTTAAGTCATGGATACAAAACTGTTAACCTTTTTGACGATCATGTGGGTTGGTGGTTTTTGAGGCCCTCTTATGTATAGGCCAAAAGCAGGGCCAAAGCTCTTTGATGCTATTTGTATTTGATGCTATAGGCCTCTTGGCCAGTCGACTGGGCAGGTAGGGTGGTTCCCATTGTCCTTTTTGGGTTCGCTGGCTCCCCTGGCTTCAATTGGCATTCCCATTTGCCATGGCCGACTTACCCCCTAAAACTCTAAAAGCCCCGGGGAAGTTCTCATCTTTTACAGACATATAGCCCATGTACCCAAAAAGCTGAGAAAAGTTGTGGTTTTTTAAGAGGCAAGTCTATGTCCAAAAGCTATGGTGGCTGGAGGCTTAGGCGTAGGGGTGCTAGGGTTTTTCCTGGTCCACTCAATGGGTGCACGGCGAAGCACCAGGAGGAAAACCACCAGGTCACATCCGGTCCATTCGCTTTGGGCCAGTGAGCTATTGCTCAATCGATCTCTCCCAAAAGAACTGTTCCCTTCCTACGTGGATGGGCCCAAAAAGAAACCAAACATTGTATTTGCACCAAACTGGCTCCAAAAAGTCTGAAGTCCGAAACGGAACTCGTCGGAGGTGAGTCAAACGCCAGCGCAAAAAAGACTTTTTTGTGGCCCCGGCCGGCTCGGAGATGGCCTGCTCAGAGCCCTGAGCCGTGACAAGGCGACAAGAGGTCGACTAGAGGTGTCCCGTCCATGTAAAAACCTGGGAAACATGCCTTCAGACTGAAGTGGCCAAAGGTCAAAAGCCCGTAACCCCCGTGAACGTCCCAATCCCCACTAAAATGGGTGGTGCACCTACCTCAAAATGGTACCATTGGTTTTGACCCACAGACAAGTGGGTAAGAGGACATCGTCCAAAAAAATCAACCTGATGAATTTGTCATTGTGAAATCTGGCACTCGAGTAGGTAAGAGAGGTAAACATGCCGAACGGGCTACCTTGACAGAGCTGGAAGACTCGAATAGGACAAAGCCGGCGGTGCGATTGAAAGTATCTCCTGTGTTTGGATGTGTGTTTGGGGCATGGTAGGTGCATTTGGGTGAGACACGAGCCGTTACAACATATTACAAAAAAAAACACAAGCCTTTTACAGGCCCCAGCTGAAACTGAATGGGCCAAAGAACCCCCAAAAAACTACAAAAGCCGTGTCAAGAACCGAGTCCTCCGAAACGGGGTGCGTGGGTCACATCAGGATACAGCAGGGAGGTGCCAAAAATGTCGAAAACAGCACATCCTAAGAACAGGGAAGCATGGCCATGAGGCTGTAAGAAGGAGAACCAGGGTCCAACTCAAAGAAGCATGTTTGAGGACCTCGGTTGTTTCAGCAACCCTAGAAAAAAAGGGAACCCTTTTTGGGGCTTGGGCCCTTTTTAGTGGGGCAGCCACCAAAAAGGGGGAAAAAGGGTGCCGCTGAACAACTGAGGGACAAAACTGTTGGACATGGGCAAGCGGGTCTGCTTCCGGCGTTGCCGCTGGCAAGGGCCTAAACAAAAATGGAATGGGGTGGCGGAGCATGCTTAACACATACTGTGGATGAACAAAATCCATTTCGCACCACCTAAGAAAACCCTGGAATGTTGATTCTCCTGTAAATACCAACAAACAATGGTGTCTCATGGTTCCTTAGGTGGTGCAGGATTTCGTCCATCCACAGTATTGGCAATGACCCCATTCTTTCAGGGTCATGGAGACTCCAGGTATCTGTTTTGCGTTTTTGCTCCCCGGCATATGCCAAAGGTGACCCGTTTGGGTCTTTTGGACTGCCCGGCTGCAAGGTCAAGACAAGTAAGCTTTGGGTGCCGCCCATTTGCCCCTGTTGGTTTTGGGAATCAATCGCTATTGGAAATGTGTGTTTGTTTGTTCAGGTGACGTCAAGCAAATGCAAGGTGCTGCTTGCTTCGACCTTTCATTCAATCTTCAGTGAGAAACGTGCCCCCTGCTGAATATAGGGGGCGAAGTCATACCCAAAGTCAAGGGGTCATGACCAACCATTTTCTAAGGGTCATGGAGACTCCAGGTAGTCCTCAACGACTTTTAACCATACTCGTAGGGGCAGACTTATCAAACACGAGCATCACCAAATTCTTGGTCTCCGCGGTCTCCGGCTTTCCCCCCGGCCCCAGTGACCACCCCCTTCGGCCTCGCCTCTGAGAGGACCATCTGCTCCAGGCGAAAGAGGACTCGCCGGAAGAGGCCCATGTCCTCCCGAGGCGATGTGGACTGGACTCAGCACTCAGCTCCCCGAGGATCCCAGGCGATCCCAGGCACCTTCCATTGGCTTTTTTTGGACCCCTGGAAACCACAAAACTAGGTCCTCCAGTACAGAGCTTAGAATAAGTTAGTACCAACTTTTTGCTGTAGTCTATTTTAGTAGGGCCAACCAAAAAAGGGGTGAGAAAGGGCACTACTGGGGGACCTAGAAAAAGAATATGTTCAGCTGCGAAATCGACTCCCTTTAAAACCATCCGAGGAAAAATGCAAAACACATACTCCTTTCAGCAAATGGGAAATCATAAGGTCACCCTTTGCCATCCTCCTTTGAGTTTTTGTATCGGGCAGTTCCTTTGGCTGCCTGCTATACTGGGAAATTGTAACACTGGGGGGTGTGGTGATCCAGATCCCCTACCGATAGAGGTGGGGGGGGGGAGGGTGCACCAACTCCACTTATCGAACGTCTAACCCAGAAAATTGAAAATAGAACCATAAATGGAGTTCCAGGGTCACCCCCCCGCCTCCGCCCAATTCAATTTCTAGGGGGTGGGCATTGTTCCGGGCTGGTTTCCCATTAGCCCTCTAGAACTCTAGAACCGCATCAGCTCCAAACCCAAACCACTGCTCCAAACCAAAGGGTCACCTGACAAACCCCGTCAAAGAGGCAAGAACTGTGCACCCGAGCTGATGCACCAACTACAAATCCGACTTGGCTGGATGGGGTCATTGCCCTGGGTCAAACTCCCGAAAAAACCAAGGTCCCCAAAGCTCCTTACTTTAGCTTAGTATAAACTGCCCTAAACAAATAACTAAATTAACAAGTCAATTCCCCTAAACGAAAAACTAAAGAAAAAACACGTTAAATTGCTGTCCTTTGGTTTAGTACAAACTTGGCCCATATCCGAGGTGCACAAACGCATTTTTCTGACCCCGTTTCATTTTTAAGCAACCAAAACATGATAGTTTTGGATTGGCCCAGCTGTCCTGCTCCGGCTGTCGGAAGTGTGTGGGACCCTGGCCTCTCGCTTGGGCGTGATGGTCTGCTTGGGCGTGTCAAAGGAGTGTGATTGCTTTGCGGGGACCCCCCCCAAAAAGGTGGCTTTCCCTTTGGTTTCCCTTTAAAACCATCCCAAACAGTGTACCATCAAGAAAGAACACATCAAACATAGGGGAACCCAAAATGGTCACTCTCCCTTTGGTTTCCCTTTAAACCGGGTGCAGTACCCCGCAAAAGGACACACACACACACACGCACTTGCGCAAGTGAGTCACTTTGTAAGTAGGCAATGGTTATGACTGGGGTGCGCCAGGCCCCCGGTGAGCAAAAGGTCCTTTTGGACTTTGCAGGTTTAGTGGAAACGCCATTTGGGCCAGGGTCAAAACACCTTCCAACGCCATGGTTATGGTTCCCTGGACAGGAAGCAAAATGATTGTTAGAAAGGATCCAAACTGGACCAGTACAGGGCTCCTTTGACCATGGCACATTTATTGCCACAAACTCTGTGGGGCGATTCGGTCATACCAAAAAATCCAGCTGACAAGCCCTAGTTACCCCGGTTAGCCACAGCTACAACCTGCTTGACTTGGCCTGATGTTCATGAGACCGCCCCTACACGGGCCCCACTGATTTATGCAGGCCATGCTGAGCCTTCATGAGGCTAGCTAAACCAGGGGATTCAGCAAAACTTCTTCTGTTAGGACAACTTTTCGGGGAACTCCGTCTTTGTCCCCACCGCTCGATTCGGCCCAGCCACAAGGGGACATGGTTCCCTCCTGTCTTTCCAAAATACTTTGGACGCTTCAAACCTGGGCTTCGAGCATGGTGTCTTGAAAAGATAGGGTTAGGCTCCACAAACTCCGTATGGAGCCCCTATGTTGCATATACATGTATAATATATATATATATATATCACTATATGTGCATTTGTTTGTGTCGCTCTCGCCCCCTCTCCCTCTCCCTCTCCCCCCCCCCCTCTCTCCCTCTCTCTCCCTCTCTCTTTCTTTCTCCCTCTCGATTCCTTCAAGGCTACCCTTCTGGACAGGGCTGTGGGGAGTGACCACTTCTATGATTCAACAGAACGGGCTTCCCAAAGACTAAATTGTTCACAGAAAGGGGGAGTCCCTTGTATCGCAGAAGTGGGGATAAACCCCTTGATCCCACAACCCTGCTTCCGGAGGTTGGCGTTGGACACCAAAGGAAGCTCTTGCCATAGAGCTTCCCTGCTCCGAGGCGTCCCCAAACCCCCGCCCCACCCTTGCTTGGCCTCGCGGCCGGTGTAGGGCTTTCATCATCTCCACGTGGACGGTTTCCTGGCCGCTGGGAGCTGTTGGTGAGACCCCCCCCCGGATCCTTCCGGATAACATACAGCGGTTCTAGGGGGGGATTCCCTTTTTTCGTTCAACCATCGCTCTGTTGAACCTAGCTGCCTCCCCAGAGTGTTTCGTGTTTTCTGGAAAGAAGGATCCTGGGAAAGCATGGGGAAGCTACCCCTTGTTGGAACCTACTCCAAGCAGAAGCCTTCCGAAGGAGCTCCGAACCACCAAATGGCAGGTTCAACCTCCTTGTCCGGCCTGCCCTTGCATTCCAAGAAGTTGATCAAGGTTCAACGCGAAACCTAGGATTCAACATTGCTCCACCATCATCTTCGTCAATCCCATTGTCTCTAGACGTTTCGCAGCCATCATGCTTACCACTCTAGGTTTTACCATAGAGAAGCCTTCCCCTGGTGACCACAAGCCTGGACGCACTGTGCATGGTTATAATTCTCATTGGGGGTATATGGGGTTAGTGCCCCTATAACTTATAACTATGCTTTTGGCATGTTGAAGCCTACTAAGTAGATCTTGAATACCCAAGTAAGGTCGTGAGGCTAACAGGTGGAGGGATACATCGAAACACCCAAGGAAGACTGGAAGCATTGGGAGGGGCAAAGTCTCCGATAACCCAAACCCGAGTCGCTTCCTCAACCATTTCTCACGGCTGAGCCTTGGCGCCTTTTTTCCCAGCGGGGTTTGAAGGTGGAAGCATGCAACGCCACGTGTATGCCGCCCAAATCAGTTTATCCGTCTCACTTGCCTCCAAAGAGCGGCCCCAGAAATACAAGGCGATCGCCTTTTGGGACTCTTTTCTGAAAATGGACCAAATGAAACTGGGACAAACCAAAAGGTCAAGAGTCGGCTTTGGGGAGGGGGCGATGTGGGAACTTCGAACTTGTAAACTCCTGGTTGATTAATGGGGGGTGTCCCCGTTTAGTGGGATTTGACACGGAGGCTTTCTCAATCAGCTGTCAACAATATGGTGGGCAAGGAAACCATATCTCCAAAAACCTCCACAAGTGATAGCTTCCCTTTAACACCAACAGGGGAACATGAAATAGACTCTTAAGCAAATGGAATGAACAACCCATAGGTGTCCTTTGGCAAAATAGATGGGTTCCCAGTTAAATGGGGCACAAAGAAAATTCAAACCAGTAGAACCCATCTATTTTCAACCTAACTAACCCAACAACAAAACACCTAATGTTAACCCCGGATTAATAAACCCCTGGTTGATGAATAGGGGGTGTCCCCTTTTAGTGGGGATCCAGACCACTTGCGAGGGGTTTCCACCCCTCCCAATAATGGCACGGGCTTATTACTCCTGGGTCAACATTATGGCAAATACCCACATGTTTTCATGGTGTTGTTTTGAAAGACCTGGGGTTTCCATGGTAAATACCTCCTTTTGAGTAGAGGGTCACTTACCCCTTAAAACTCCAAGCCCTGGGGAAGTTAATCATTTACATACATATAGCCCATGTTAACCAACAAGTTGAAAAGTTGTGTTTTTAAGAGGTAAGGTCAAAGCCCTGGACGTCACTTCACTCGATCGACGTGAAACCGCTCCTTGTGCTCTCGGTAGGCCCAGCAGACCGAGACCCCCACCACCGGCTGCGCTGCTGCCGCCTCGATGTTCGCCTGAGGGAGGTGGCCGCTCCGGTGGATTTTGGGGGCTTCAGTAGGGGAGAGGATTACATATAGCATATACATATATATATATGTATATATATATATATACATACACGACTATGTACATATGGCTGTGGCTCAAAAAATCGGAATTCCAAAATGGGTTGCCCTGGTAAGTGGAAACATGGACCAAACCCTGCGAAACCCCTCCGATTTAATTTTGAGCCACACCCATATAAATCTATATCGTACAATCTGTCACTTGCTTCTTTGCCTGGATTTGCTCCAAAGCGCGTCCCCTAGAAAAAAATCAGCAAGACGCCCAACTCGGGTGTATGCGATGTGGAGGTCAATTCACTTCTTCGGGGGAGGCTGGAGTCTCTGCGAGTCTCTCCATCAGCTCTTAGGAGTTCTTGGAGCAACTCTGACAGCCCCAGGTTTCGCCCAAATTGAACCTTTGCCTTTGCGATAGCGCACGGTGTCTGTTCGACGCAGCGATTTATTGGGGGAGGGGGAAAGAAGGAGAAGGCCCCAAAAACAATTGAACCATTCATTGGGGAGGGCCCCTCGTGAGAAAAACATGGGAAATGCCTCCGTTCACAAACAATAGCTGCAAAAAAATTGGCAACAGAAAGCAGCGGTAAGCCATGAAACCCGCAAGACTCTCCTCTCATGGGCGACCAGCTGGGATCTCTTTTTTGTTTTTCTCCGTCAGCTGCCAATGAGATGTTGGTTCAGGTTTGGGGATATGGGGATTTGAACCGAAATGGGGAAGCCACCCCGAACGTGCAAAGCACCAAGCCACCAACTGTCAGCTTCCTGAGCAGCCCTTTGGCGAAACCATCCTACTCACCAGCAAAAGCAAAGCATCAGGTTGCCCGGAATTGGTGGATAGGATTATAGGATTGGTGATTTGGTGGGTTGAACCCCGCGTCTCGTAGATTCCCCTTAGAGGCTCGAATTTGTGGTCATCTCTCTACAACAACCGGGGATCAACCCACCAAATCACCTCCTAATCACCCACTTCGGGCAATCTGATTCTCTGCTGGTGAGTAGTTGGCTGGAAACCTTCCAAAGGGCTAACAAAGAGGAATTGAGATTGTCCCCCCGAAGTCCCTGTCAAAATCAATTTACTTCTCCACCAATTTCAAGGAACGAACCCCGAAGTGGCGTCCCTTCAACAAAAATGGTGCAATGGCTCGGCTTGATTTTGGGTTCCATGTCAACCTTAAAAAAAGTCATTTTTTGGACCCCCTAGGTCTTCCTCTTTCCAAGCTCAGCTCGGATGCCCGGCGAACTTCCAAAAACCACATGTTGACAACAATTCCTTAAACCTCCCCGCGGGTTCTCCGGGCTTTCCAACGGAACACCTCTCATGTTCCTCGGCTTGTCCCACAAAACACATGTCTTCGCTCAGATCTGAAGTGGCTTGTGAAAAATCAGTGGGTACTTTCTATAGGTTGCGTTCTCTTTAAAGAGAAGCCAACAGGAAAAACACATGTTTTGAGGAAAGGCCCCCCCCAAATTTTGCCAATCGATCCAGGGGTGCCTCCCCCATTCTTTCCAGGGATCCTTCTTATAGAACAGGTTAAACAACCGGGAAGGGTCACAATTGAACCCTGTACTCAGCGCGCTTTTTCCTTGAGCCACGTGCAGTCGTAATGATGAGACTGCACAAGTGAGACATGCATGCATTGGGGTTTACATGGTTGATAAATACATCACGTTGCAAACTACACCCCCCGTGCCCGAATGTGAAACAGGAGGACAAATGAAAGGGATGAGACAACCAAAGAAACCCGATAGGCATGATGTCATTTTGCAGCACACAAGCACTTGGATTTGAGCGATCGGTAGCTAAGGTCTTCCGCCTCCACTGACCGTCGCTCTCGCGAGGCGTGCTCGTGCACTGTACATTGATCCTCGGCCAACATGATTGAGAAGTATAATGGAAATTGAATTTGAAATGTAAATGGATGTCAGCCGAAGATAGAAAATATTGTCGAAGAGATCGCTCATTCATCGCCAATCCCAATTGCGGGAGCTCTTCCACGGGCGCTGATCATCAGACCACCACGAGTCCCAGGACTGGCCCCAACTTCCCCAGCACGACTGGCTCCATTGACGATCCTGCCATTGGCCACCGGTCTCCCGGAGCTGCGGAATGGGCTTGCGCGTCACACCGACAACTGCAGGGAGCGAGGTGGCCCGCCCAGGGATCTCGATGTTGGGGATCTCCTCTTCGACGAAGCAGAGCAACTCCACCAAAACCATTTCGGGGTCTCCCACAGACGAGAAATCCCGGGTCCAGCCCATCACGCTGTAGCGGTTGCTCTTGTCAAGGCTTCCGTAAAGTGCAGCAAATTGTTCTGGTTCCAGAAACCTGCCGCCATGCACAACGTAGACGTCCTTCGGGTCGACCTCCTGCACCTCCTCCGTAGGCGGCACCAGCGTTAGCCGTGCGTGATATTTCGGCACAGCCACGCTTCCTTGGATCATTTCCTTGGTTCTCACGAAATTCGGAATGATGCATCGTGCCACTTTCTCGATGAACTCGAGGGCGGACGGCGTCAGGTCTCCCCGCGCGGCAGTGTAGGCGTAAAAGGGGTCATTGATCAGCCTCTCGTAGAGCGTGGTGTACTCCTTGTTGCGAAGAACTGCTTTCTTGGCAATGTCCTTCATGATGCCGAGGCCCCCTCTTGCGCTTCTATCCCCCCGCGCATCCTTTCGCTGCGTCAAGATCTGAGTCTCAACCTGGTCCATGGACAACGGCACGCCCAATGTGTTGGCCATCTCCTGCAACCGGACCACCCTGGCAATCTTCTTGATGTCCGGCATCCGTTCCATCAACTGGCCGCATTGAAAGCAGTTGATAGTGCCAACTGGAATGAGAATCTGGCAGCGATCGCACGCGACATCAGGAATATGCATCACTTCGGCAAACCGCCAGTTTGTGGCCTTCTTCCGGTTGGGGTCGAGCTCCTGCCACAAGCCACTCCGGCCTCGGGTTTCCCCGGGCTGCTGCGTCACAGCACGGGCCCAATTACGGTAGAGGCCGTAGCGAGCCGTCTCGAACTCAAGCATGACTTGCTCGTCCTTCGGAAGATTTTCATCGAAGACATTCTTGACTTTCGTGATGTTGCCGATGCGATGGGGCCGAGTCAAGTCACGGCACGCCGTTGGAGCCCATTGCTTGCAGTAGGCCTTGCATTCCTTCTCGAGGTTGGCCATGAAGGACTCCAGCACCGGGGTACCGACGACGCCTTTCTGGGTCTCTTTTCGGTACTTCTTGATGCTCTCCTGGTAGTTCCGCCTGACGCTGACGTACATCCGGTTGGACCAGATAAACTTGGCACATTCAGCGTCGTAGGCGTAGATGAGGACCTTGTTCGTGATCCAATCCTCCGTCACCAGGGCTTCCCCGTCTCCGGGTGCGTACAGCCGACACCCCAATTGAATCAACATCTCCACATCGACGGCGATGTTGATGGGTCGGTCAGCACGCGCACCCCCCGCCTTCCGGCCATGCCTGTCCCAAGGAGGCACCACCGTTAGGTAGGCGTGACCACGCGAGGTTTGCCGGTCCCCCATGCCGCCCGGAAAGATGCCCATGTAGATGATGTCAAAGAAGTTCTGCATGTTGCACGTGTGGTAGGCGATCTTGGGCAGCGCCTTTCGGCGTGCGTCCGAGAAATCTTTGCAGAAGCCCGGTCGCACACCCTTCTTTGCGTGCTCGATGGAGTAGTTGACATCCATTGCAATGGGATCTCCAGGAATGTTGTCAAAGCCACTGGCCTCAGTCACCCAATCGTTGTGGCCGGTGAACGCGCGAATGCGTAGGGGCATGAAACTGAGCCCGTTCCATTGCTGTCCGGCCGGCGCGTACTCGACATAGACCTCGAACCGATTCGATGTGGACGTGGCCTGAAGCAGAGTGTATTGGGAGCAGTTCCAGTCATATCGGCGCTGGATCCACTTGGCAACGGCTGCATAGTCGAAGGAGTTGTCCTTGAGATTGATCTCAGGGATGGACCGTGTCGCATGTTCGTGGGCATGTCCGCGAACCAAATACGACACCTTCTTGCTCAGGAACGTCCTTCTGCCATAGTTCTGGATCTGGGGAATCTTGATTCCTGAGCACTTGATCCACTCCCTCTTGGGTTCAGCAGCCTGGCCACGGGTCTCCCCGGGCTTTGAAGCAGCTTTGGGAACTGCCTTCGCCTTGGGGATGTTCTCCGGGCCACGGATCTCTCCGGGCTGAGTCTTGCCAGTCCCAGCCACGGGCGCCTGACCGCTGGATGAGGCAGCAGGCATTGGCATCGCCTTTGATTTCACCTTTGGTGTCGCAGCACTGAGAGCTGCAGTCATTTTGTTATGACTTTTCCGTTTGGAAGTGAGGAACAGCTTGATCTGGCCGTCCTCGCCGACATCGTTCGGATCCACTGCGGCAACCTCAACGGCCTGGCCTTTCGGCCGGCTGACCTTGGGCTGAGAGCCCGGGGGCAGGTCAAAGCTGATTAAGTCCTCCTCATCGGACGATGAGGACCAATCAATAACGTCATTGAGGCCGCTGACGGTCGCCGCGTGGATGTCGGGCTGCATCATTTGCAAAATCTTCGCCTCTTCCTTGACCGTATCGAGAGGATAAAGAGGATTCGCTTCCTTCTCGGCTTCCAGGAACAGTTCGCGCTTCGGCTCTTGTGCAGCAATCTCATTGATTGCTTCAAGCTCCCTCTCGCGGACCTCGTTGTCGAACGGGTCCTCGGGGTTCTTCGCAACAGCCGGACCGCCAGTTTCCTGGGGTGTGGCACCGACGATGGGAATAGATGTGTCGATGTTCATGTATTCCCTTTCGAGGAGGTACCAGTTCATAGCCCCTGCGAAGCGGTTGATTTGGCCGATGCAGTACCCGAGCTTCGCGGCGGCCACATAGAAGTTGATGTAATGTTTTCTGTTGCGCTCGGTGTCATCGGTGTGGATGCGGTCTGCCCGGGACGTGTTGGATATGA